CATGGAACAGAAAAGTAAGGAACAGTAAAAGACTCATTGTAAAAATCCAGTATTACCCTGACATCAAAACCAAAGACACACACAAAGAAAATTATAGACGAATCTCTGTGATGAACCTGGATACAAAAATTCTCAATGAAAGACTGGTTAACTGAATTCAACCTCATATAAAAGAAATCATCCATAATGATCAAGTTGGCTTCAATCCAGATATGTAAGGGTGGTTCAACACAAGTAAATTAATAAATGAAACATATAAACAGATTCAGGGGCAGAAATAAATGGCATTATCAGTAGATACAGAAAAGTTTTTTGACAAAGCCTGCCATCCCGTCAAGATAAAAATGCTGAGGATATTAGGACTAGAAGAAGCATCAACGAAATAAAGGCTATGTAACTAATATTATACTGAAACTCAAAGCATTTCCCTTAAAATAAAAAAGCAAGGATAGCTACTTTCTCCATGCTTAATTAACATAGTGCTTGAAGTCTTAGCTAGAGCAACAAGAGAAAGAAACCTATGGGATATAAATAGAGAAATTATCCCTATTTACAGACAATATGATCCAATAGCAAGAGGCCTAAGTACAAATCCCAGTTGCCCTCATGTATACCTGTAGTGAACACTACAAGAAAGGGACCAGGAAAACACTCATGCGCAAAAGCTTCAGAGCAAAGCATATCCAAAAAATTAATGTTTCTGTTTAAATATGGAACTGCCAAAGAATCTGAAGAAGACCCTAGAAGATGGAAAGATCTCCCACACTCAGGGATATCCTCATGGAGAGAAACGAAATCAAGAAAAAACAGGGGGAAGTTGAAGATTATAAGTATAGGAAGGTCTTCCTGGAATGGACTTAACAAGGAAGTAATCTGAAGAACTGACGAATGGGATTATATGAATATAAAAAGCTTTTTGCAATAAAGGAAACATTAGCAGCACAGTGAAGGGACAGCTTGCTGAATGGGAGAGAAACCTTTGCTAATATATAACTGGTAGAGAACAAATATCTAGAATACAGCGCTCAAGAGGCAAACACCCAAGCAATCCAACCAATAAATAGACTAATAAATTGATGAATAACAAATGGTCAATAAATATATGCAGATGTACTCAACATTCTCAACCATCAGGGAAATGAAAATCAAATAAACATTGAGATTCCATCTCATTGCTGTCAGAATGGCTATCATTAAGAAAACAAATGCAGACTTAGGAGAGACAGCTAAATCATTAAAGTGCTTGCCATGGAAATATGAGGACCTGAGTTTGTTCCCTTAGAACACATATAAAAAGCTGGGGTAGAGAAGGAGAGAAGGCTTAGCCAGTAAAGATGTTTGTCACAAAGCTTGACCCTTTGAGTTTGAGCCTCAGAACTCATCCAAATAAGTGTACCAACTCCTACAAGCTGTCCTCTGATGTCTACATGCACGATCCATGTACATATACACACACATGTCTGAGTACACACACATACACACACACACACACACACACACACACACCAAATGCTTTTGAAGATGGAGAAGAAGGGCTCTCATATTGCTGGTGGGGATGTAAATTAGTCCAAGCACAAAGGAAAACAGTATGGTGGTCTTAAAAAACTACCAATAAGATCATCAATGGGTTCAATAGGTAAGGATGCATGCTGACAAAGCGAGTTCAATCCCCATAACCCTCAATGTGGAAGGAGGAAATCACTTCCTGTAAATTGTATGGCTTTTCTTCTAACCTCCACATGTGTCACGGCACACGGACATCAATCTGTAATAAAATCAGTGACCCAGCTGTACCAATACTGGCTATATACCCAAAGGAATTTCTATCAGCACAACACAGATATGTTATCAGAGGCACTTGCACATCAATGTTTACTGTGGCACTGTTCACAACAGCTGGGTTATGGGTCAACTATAGCTGTATGTCAACAGATGAATGGATAAAGAAAAATGTGACACATGCAATGCAGGTTTATTCAAATATATGGAAGAAATTCATGTTTTCAGGAGGGTGGATGAACATTATGTTAAGAGAAATAAATCAGGCTCAGAAAGACAAATATTGTTTGTTGTTCCTAGGATAACATTTTGCTGATTACACACCCCATACCATTTTTATCTCAAGAACAGAGATAATATCACATAGGATGCCATGCAGAAATCCTTTGAAACTTTTAGTTTTATTTAAAAGTATTTACTTTATGTGTGTGAGTGTTTTACCTGAATGTGAATAGTGAAATTTGTGCTTGCCTGATGCCTTTAGATGCCAGAAGAAGGCACTGAATCTCATCCCCTGGAACTGGAGTTAAGGATAGTTGTGAGCTACCATGTGGGTGCTTGGAACTGAACCTTGGTCCTCTGGAAGAGCAGTGACTACTCCTTATCTCTGAGGCATCTCTCCAGTGCCCCTTAATATTTTATTTTTATTGTGCGTGTGTGTGTGTGTGGTATTTGTGTATGTATGCAGGTGTATTACTATGTTGGCCTGTGGAGTTTGGAGGTCAACATCAGATGCATTTCTTGATTTCCCTCCACTTTATTTTTTGAGACAGTGTTTCTCAGTGGTTGGTTCAGAGTTTGCTGTTTCTGCTACACTGGTTAGCCTGTAAACCCCCAGAATCCTCTTGTCTCTACCCAGTGACTCCAGCACTGGGATTTTTAGACCCAGGCCTCTGCTTTGGTATATGTTCTGGGTATTTGAACTCAGATCTTTATACTTGCTCTTTACTCATTGTGATGGTTTGAATAAGAATCCCCCCATATGTTCCTATATTTGAATATTTAGGAAGTAGCACTATTTGAAAGGATTCAAAGGTATGGCCTTGTTGGAGGAAGTGTGTCACTGGGTATGGGCTTTGGGGTTTCAAATGATCCAGCCAGGCTAGTGACTCTTCCTATTGCCGGCAGATGTAGAATTCTCAGTTCCTTCTCCAGCACCATGTCTAGCTGAGTGCCATTATGCCTCCCACCTTGTTGATAATGGACTAAACCCACTGAAACTGCAAGCAGACACCAACTAAATGTTTTCCTTTATAAGAGTTCTGCAATCATGGTATCTCCTCACAGCAATAGAACACTAAGATATCTATTGAACTATCTTAATAGTCCTTGAATAAATCCTTTGTATACATTATACATTCCATTTCTGTTTGACTTATCAGAATCCTCCAAGACCCTTATTTCTTGTCTGTTTGGAGAGTAATATTTGATTACATTATTGGACTATTTTAATAGAATAGAAGCATATCTCATTGCTTTTAAATTATACTGCCACCTACTGCTTATGTAGGGAAGTGCTTTCTTTTTACTCATGCTTTCTTCCTAACTACTGAATTTTTGTTTTCTCGGTAATCATGAACTTTCTATTCTTTGCGCTTCAAATCACAGTTGATGTAATTTTCTAATAGTTTCTGCTATTTCAGTATAACAATTCAGAAGATACTGATTGTTCTACAGGGGACAGTTTACAGCTTTATAGAACATGAACCCTTTTTTAAACACTTTCATTATTCATTTTCAGAATTCTTGGAGACTTTCTAGCTTTAACATATACTAAATTGGACACTAAGTTCTTCCTTGGACATCTTCCATTCAGGGGACCTTACCCTTCAAGGCTCTACTTCCATGTTTTCTCTTGTAAAACTTCCCATTATTTTCTAGATTAGAAGTAAATTCACCAGCCCACAATTGGTAGTTATTATAATGAGCGACATAAGGAAAGATAATGAAAAAATCCAGTTCGAAAAATGGCTTTACAATGATTTCCCTAGCCTCCTTTGCTGCCTGTTTTACTTTTGCAGATGAACTGGAATCTCGGGGGTGATTTACAAAGGGAAAGTTTTAGGGAAGAACAAAAATCAGGAACACGCGCTCTGCAATCTGGTCAGGTTCACTTTGTACACTCTGAAGCGCGTGTCAAGAATTTCCAAGACTAATTAAAGCAAAAGCAGACCAGGAATCAAACGTAATTCTTATTCCGAAATAAAATTATCAGTTTAAAGAAGAGAGACAGGAAGCAAGAGGGGGGAAATTAATGAGCAAAACAATATCATTGCAGTGTCTGTATGCAGTTTAACTAGACTGTACTTAGTTGGGACGCTTGTGATGTGGTGACCAATACACCAAAGTCTTGAATTTCACAGAGAGGTTCAGGCTTTGCTACAGATTATCTGAGCAGTCTCTGAAGTCACTAGAGTTTTGTCACAGGACGAGGGTTAATCAGTTCCTCTTTGCATTCTTTTCTTATTTAACATCATGGTGCTCTCAGAGTCTGAGACTTAGATCCGTGTCCCTTCCAGACACCCCGAGGCTTCTTCACAGTCATCTCTTCGATCCTGCATTTGACATCTCTTCGTGGACCAATCCATGAGAATAACCATCAGTTAAAGCAAACGCCCAGAAGAGCCCTTGAGGGTCACCACGCAAACGAAGAGCGGCAGTTCAGCCACGTCTCTCGTCTCGACTACTCCAATAAGGAATATTTTGACGACAAGGACTGTGGTGGGCAGAAGGTGAAAGCGTTTTTTTCCCATGTAGGAACATAAAGTCATCGTTTCTGGCTGTGTTCCACCGGATCTAACAACGGACCAACTTCCGGTCCGTTCCCTATGTCTTCCGAGTCTTTATTCTTCCTCTACTTCTGCCCGGAGTTACTGCCGGGTGCGGGAGCCAGTAGCTACTTCCGCCAGAAGTCCCTAGCGGGTCGGGTTCGGATGCCGCCCGACGCCGGGTCCTCCTCCTCCGCAGCCCTCCCGTCAGAGGCCGGTGGCAGCGGCTTTTACAGGGCTTGCCGCGAGGCCTTCTCTGCGGCCGAGTCCGGGCCAGTAGCGCGGGGGAGACGCCGGGGAGCGGCCAGGGCGGTGCGCACCCCGCAGGCCTTGCCGCACCTGCCCAAGCGGGGCGGGGCTCGACCTCTCCGCCCACCCATCAGGGGCGCCTAATTCGGGGCCGATTAACCGCCTCTCAACCTGCGGGAGTCATCATCCCCAAGGCTGCGGTCACCTGGGGACCATGGAGTTCGCGGAGCTGATTAAGACCCCACGGGTGGACAATGTGGTGTTGCACCGGCCTTTCTACCCCGCCGTGGAAGGGACCCTGTGTCTAACGGGCCACCACCTGATCTTGTCCTCCCGGCAGGACAACATGGAGGAGCTCTGGCTCCTCCATTCAAATATCGACGCCATTGACAAACGGTGAGCGCCCACCACACCCAGGTCCGTGAGGAGCCGGAACAGACGCTTCCAGGTGTTTTTCTGGTATCCTCGCCCAGCCAGCCAAATGAACCCTCTGTGGCTTAGATCTGAAAGTCGTCTGCACTGGCTACCTGGCTTTTGCTATACCTGGGCTAAGATCTTAGGGGTATAATCGCAGTGGTCATTTTAAACACCATTTGGGCGTATTTTCAAGGTTCTCTCTAATATTTTGTTTTCTTTCCTCACATTCCTTGAATATTTCTTGCCATTTCTCGACTCATTCATTATTGGTTGTCAATTTCACTTCACGAAGTTGTGATTGCATACAATTTAACTACCCCCCGCCCCTCCCCCAGCCCCAAGACATGCTCATCCTTTGCAGCCTAGGCCTATCTTGAGCTACTGACTCTCCAGCCTTAGCCTCCCGAGAGAGAGAGAGAGAGAGAGAGAGAGAGAGAGAGAGAGAGAGAGAGAGAGAGAGAGAGAGAGAGAGAGAGAGAGAGAGAGAGAGAGAGAGAGAGAGAGAGAGAGAGAGAGAGAGAGAGAGAGAGAGAGAGAGAGAGAGAGAGAGAGAGAGAGAGAGAGAGAGAGAGAGAGAGAGAGAGAGAGAGAGAGAGAGAGAGAGAGAGAGAGAGAGAGAGAGAGAGAGAGAGAGAGAGAGAGAGAGAGAGAGAGAGAGAGAGAGAGAGAGAGAGGAGAGACTTGTGGTAGTTGAGTAAATTGTCTCTATTTCCCATTTTATTCTCTCAAATAATTTTTAAAGTTCAGTAAGGTGGTGACACCTGTAATAGCACTGGGAAGGCCCAGGTAGGTGGACTCACTCATGTACGGAAGACCTTCTCAACAAAAACAACAGATTTGTTTATCATATTCCTTCTTATTTTCCCACTCCATGCTTCTTTATTTATTTTGACTTATGTGTATATGTGTGTATCTATGTGTGGGCATGTACACACGGGTGCAGGAACCCCAGGAGGCCAGAAGAAGGTGTAGAGTCTCACGGAGCTGGAGTTACAGGTAGTGGTGAGCCACCCTATGTGAGTTCTGCGGACAGAGCTTGGGTCTGGAAGAAGAGAAAGTGCTCTTCGCAGTTGAGCTCTCTCTCCAGCCTCCTATTTTATGCTCTTCATTTGTGAAAGAGGGTGTCTCAGAGTCAGACATCCATATATGCTTTCATCTGCACATAAATTCTCTGGCTTCCCAGTCTCCCTGTAAACCCTGTGTACTCTAGGTAGCAGAGGCAAATTGATTATCCAGTTCACTATGAAGTATGTGAGTGACAACATAACTTCCTATTGCTTTACTGCATATTTTGGATGTTAAGATTTCTACAGAGATCATACCCTAATGCAATCTGGTGGTAGCAATTACAGCAGTTTAGGTAAAGCTGTGGTAGGCCACCCATCCATACCAGCAGTGGGCTACTAGATGGCCTCAGTTCATCTTCAGTGCAAAAAGTGGTCTCTCATGCTGACACTCTGGGTTCCGGTTCTAACCTAGTAACCTTACTGGTTTTCTTACTATACACATGATTTGTAATTTCTTACAGATTTGTGGGTTCTCTGGGTACCATCATCATAAAATGTAAAGATTTCCGAATTATTCAGTTGGATATTCCTGGAATGGAGGAATGTTTAAATATAGCCAGTTCTATTGAGGTAAGTATTTTGCAGGCAAAAATCTGATGGGAAAAAGGCTGTGTTCTGATTTCATGTAGCCCATCAATGCATTTGGTCATGATCCCATGACTGCTTATGTAAGAAAAGCCCTACCTGGTTTGTTGTCACATGAGAATAGTGGGACCTCTTTTATTTACCTCAGTTTCAGTATTACTTTACATGGAATTCTTAATTCCATCAATTGCTTAGAAGTTTGTGGAATTTCATAACAGAATTCTCATGAGTTAATATTGGTCAAATAATAGATGCTGTTTCAGTTGAATATGTATGAATTCCTGTTTGAAAAAAAAACAGGAATCATGTTAACTATACAAATCTTTGTACTTTCTGTGAACTGTTGTTCGGTTTCGGTGGATTTCTTGAAGGAAAAACGTATATAAAGTTTTAAGTCAATGAAACAAACAGTTAGTTGGATTGTGGACAGGGTACAGTGAGTGGTGTGATCTTCCTGAGTGTAGTGCCTTTGGAATAGATAACAACCCTTGGACTCTGAGCAGCACTACTGCTATTGTTATAATCATATGGTTCTGTTAGCCTGTGGTATGGCCTGTGGGTGAAGTACTTCTCACAATTAGTCCTATTATAAAAGAGGATATCATCACCTGTACTTTAGGGCTATTGTAAGATCACATTTGTGGGTATAGGGAGAATTCTTAGTACAATACTTGGTAAACGGTAGCTGCCATTGGAAGGCCCTTCTGTGAAAACAGTTTTATGCTGAGACATAAAGTTCACCGTCTTAACCATTTCTCAGCTTACCATTCCGCTGTGTGTCAGGAATATATTCACAGTGTTGTGTAACAGACTAAAGCAAGTAACTATCATCAGTAGTTGTCTTCTGTGACTTATATCTGAAGGTGTATATTTGTTTTCATCAGTTCTCTTAAACTGTGTTTGTTTATGCTTACATCAAAGTTTTGGACATTGGTTCTGGCCACACTTGAGAAACTTTACTTGGATAGTTTAAGGTCATAGTTGAAGACTTCACACTCCTTTTCATCTTCTGGCTATTTTGATATACACCCCAATTTTAAATTGCCTTATTTTAAATCACTGCCACTAAATTGTATCAGCTGGCTCTGTGTTTAATTTCTGTGTAACTATTGGGCTTTGTGTGTGTGTGTGTGTGTTTCTTTTAAAGTGGGTTTAGCTATTTAAAAGGAGGAAGAAAATGCCTTAAATCTGTGATTACAATTTTTGTTTTTGTTTTTTGATTTTGGTTTTTTGAGACAGAGTTTTTCTGTGTAGCAGCCCTGGCTGTCCTAGAACTAGCTCTGTAGACCAGGCTGGCCTCAAACTCACAGAGATCCACCTGTCTCTGCCTCCTAAGTGCTGGCATTAAAGGTCTTTACTAACACTGCCTGACTTTGTTTGGTTTTTACAAAAAGTAGAGGATTAAGTGATGTGTTATTAAGAAAATAACACAAAAGCCTTTCTGCTTTTGCTAAATTCTACTTGAGGAAATGAGAGAGTGAATTAAATAGTCTGCCACACATAATTGTCACTTGGAAGTATGATCGTGACTTGGCTGTACTTCCCAGTGTGAATAAGAAAGCAAATTGCGATAATGTTTTACTGTTTAGACAAAGGAATGTCTTATGCTCACTTTGGTTAAGTGTACCCGGTGTAGCATAAAGATAGGACAATGCCTAGCCAATTGGCAAATCCTTTTAGGAAGGAGGAAGTAAGCATGGATACAGCATCAACATACGTATGTCTTGTAAGAATTCAGTTTAATTATGTGTCGCAATGTTGTTGGCCTGTTAGATGCCTATCTGCATGAAGATTCCTAATAAGCCATTAAACAAGGACAGGGAGGCTATGTGATTTAACCTCTGTGTAGCTTGGATTTGGAGCTTGAACCTTTTCTGATATTTGACAGCTGGCCAGAGTTGAGCATTCCTTTTTAAAATGACAAGCAGGCATAGATTTTGAATGACTGAAACTGTTTAGTTACTGAGTTTTTAACTGAGACTCCACTAACCCAAGCCTCCTTGTTCCCCAGTATCCAGAAATTCTTTGACATTTTTATTGAGCTTTGGGCATCGTTAAATTGTGTTAGGAAGCATTATCTCACTCGGCACAGATTGTTCTGTTGCTGGTTTCATTCAGGCAGCACTTGTTGAATGGTTGTGTGTGAGGTGTCTTAGATGTTGAAGTGTGGATGCTAGCTGCAACCAGACGGTAGTAGCTACATGTGAAGATACGGTGTTGAAGACCTGTATAGGGTTCCATCATTACCAGATTCTATGGACTAACTGCTGCTGTATTAGAATGCTTTCAGTTGTAGAATCTTTCTTTCTGTCCTTTAGGCATTGTCTACTCTGGATTCAGTCACCCTGATGTACCCTTTTTTCTACCGACCCATGTTTGAGGTGATCGAAGATGGCTGGCATTCCTTCCTTCCTGAACAAGAGTTTGAACTCTACTCCTCTGCTGTAAGTTTACATTTGATATTGTGTGTCCTAAGAATTTACCCAACACCTTATTTTACTTGTGAAACTGCTCCTTTCTCTTTTAAGACTAGTGAGGTGGGGTTGGGTTATTCATGCCTAAATTTAGAACATGCAGTAGCTGTTGGTTCAGCCTTTTTCGTTCTAGGCTGGTCATTTTGCCCATGTGTTGGTGCAATGCTTTTCTTTCTAATAAATTAACATAGTCCAGGTATTTTTTTTTAATTTTGAAAATAACATTTATAAATACTGTTTTAAAAAATAAACATTGTTTTGCTTAAAGCTAGTCCTGGCAGTATAGGAGCCAGAGGAGTCAAGGACATTTTGGGAAGGCTCACACACCTCTCTAATCTGGACTCAATAGGGGCTCACAGAGACTGAACTAATAACCAGGGAGCCTACATGAGACTGACCTAGACACTCTGCATATGTGTTACAGTTATGTAGTTTGATCTTCTTATGAGACTCCTAACAGCAGGAATGGGGGATGTCTCTGACTCTTTTACTGGCTTTTGGGACCCTACTTCTCTTACTGGGTGGCCTTGCCCAGCCTTTATACATGGGAGGTACTTAGTCTTATTGCCATGTTTTTATTGATACTCATAGGAGACCTGCCCTTTCCTGGATGGAGACGAAAGAGGAAGAGATTAGAGGGTGAGAGGGTGGGAATGGGAGAGAGGGACTAGGAGGGGAAGATATAGGGAGAGGCTGCAGTTGGAATGTAAAATAAATAGATGAATTAAAAAAAAAGCTATTCCTGACATACTACAAGTTAATTGGTAGGTGTCTCCTGACTAGCAGCTTAATATGTACTAGGTTTTGAGCCACTCTTCAAAAGTATGTTGAGCCCACAGTGTGCCTGATATGGCACCAGAGAAGCACCTAGCTTATGTGCTGCTAGGTTAACACGTGGCTTGGACTCTAAGGCCAGTTTGCTAGAACCAGGTTTTCTCTTTTGGCTATTTGACTGCTTCTACCATGCTTCTATAAATGGCCATTTGGGATCAAGAAGTAGAGATCAGGGTGCTGTGGAATTTGAAGAGTGAAGGTGTCCATGATGGCAGAGGGAAGTAGAGAGGGAGTGTTGTGGTCTTGTATATAAATAGCATCAAATATGGTAAAAATGTAGTTTGGCCTAGAGCCTGTTTAAGAGATCTGTATGACAGATGAAAAGTTGGTAGGAGTCATACTGCATGTTATGAAAAGCATGGGGTGAGGGGGAGCCAAGGGCTCCTGGATGAGGTATCTAAAAGAAGAAGGGAGCCAGAGTTTGAATCTGCTGAGAAGCAGGAAGAGCGGTTCATAAGAAGCATCTTTCAAGTGTGAAGAAGCAGCAGTCTGGACTCTGTGTTCATGGTTTAGTGTTCCACACAGGGTAGCTCGCAATCACAGCAACTCAAGCTCTAGGAAATCCATGGTCTCTTCCAGCCTCCACAGGCACTGCACACATGCTGCACACAGGTACATGTACATACATAAACATCAAGTAAAGTAAGTATAAACTCTTGTAAAAAGTTTGGAAATAGAGGTAATTAAAATTTGTATGTATTTGATCTTGTAAATAAAAAAGTTTTACATCTTAATTTTCTGTTAATGTAAGCCAGGACTGATATGTTGGACCAACTTGTATTTATAGACACATATTAAAATTTGCACATGTCATTTTGGTTTTTAGCTGTAAAATATAGTTTTTCATTTTACGTAGAGTTTTCAGTTCTATTTGCTAGTGCTTCCAGGACTTAGAAATGATCTCATGATATGTAAAGGCTTACCAGGAGTTTGTCCTTGTTGTCTTAAAAGATGAGCCTGTGTCACTACATTCTTCCTTTTCTAAATAGCAGAAGGGAGAAAGGACGTGCTGTGGCTGGCATCTCTACTCTGGTAAAGCATTCTGGAATGTCACAGTCTATTGCAGCTGTGTTAAGATGACTATTACTTGAGCAGTACCCAGAAAGAGGTGCATGGGCCGATCTTGGCCACCATAACTACAGGCATACTTGGCATATGTAACTAAGGGATAAGAGCTATCTTGTGAAATGGAGAGCATAAGCTGTGTTGTCTGAATCATGGTTAAACTAATAGAACAGCTTCAAATACAATACAGGGAAGACATTTCTAGGGATGGTGATCACTAGCCACGCCAGAAACTGCCGGAACTGGCCTGAAGACTGGAGTGCTTTTCCTCCACAGGACTTGAGTGTGGATTAGATGTCCAAATTTCCTGCTGAATAACTTCCCCCGAAGTCGTCTCCAAAGCTTTTAAACCTTAGATACTCTATGACACCAAGGTGCTTGCTTAGCTCTGAAGTGCTGTGTGTTTTTCAGACTAGTGAATGGAGACTGAGCTATGTCAATAAGGAATTTGCTGTCTGTCCTTCTTACCCACCAACTGTCATTGTGCCCAAATCCATCGATGATGAAGCTCTTCGGAAGGTGGCAGCCTTTCGACATGGGGGACGCTTCCCAGTACTGAGCTATTACCATAAAAAGAATGGCATGGTGAGTATGGGGAGCACCACTCTGCTGAAAGGTGTGGCCTGGAATGGGTGGGTTCTTTTGCTTGGGAGTATTTCCTTTACTGTTAGCCTTTTGGCTGAAGTCATTGGCCAGATCATTCCCACTAGTACATCACCCATGTGAAGTGCAGGGCACCAGGAGTGGGATGCTTTCCAGAGGATGTACTGAACTCTGAGTACTGCTCAGCTTTAGAAAGGTGGGATTTGTTTTCAGAGCACAGTGTGCTCTGCAATGTTCTTAAGACAGAGTGGCGTTTCTCTTCCTAGAACCCTATTTAGATGTTTATTGTAATTATTCTTACCAAATTCCCATGTGAAGAACGTAAGAAGTAAGAAGAATGGCACACGTCATTTACTCATGCTGTAGGAAACTGGGAAATTGGGAATTGCTGAAACTAGTAATGCCATGGGTCCCTGAACTCTGACTGGGACAGCCAGGGAATGACGACAGAATGAATGTACATAGAGAAAATCTGGGCTTGGGTAGGCTGTGCATAGTCTAGTGGGGTGGCACCAACTATGCTACAGTTAGAACTTCAGCTTGTTTATTATGTACAGCATCAGGGGACGGGTTTAGCTAGTCTAGGTGAGAGGTCTCTGTAAGCCAGCATTCTCAGACTGTGAGCATCCAGGAAGATGAAACGGCACTGGCTGGTTTCGCGTACACTGTCAACATTTACACTTGGACTAGAGGATGGTTGTACCATCTCTCTGACCTGACCTAGAGGCAAGGCTTTGTCAGTTTCCAATGGGTCTGTGGCATTGGTCTTTGACACGTGGCCTGCTCACATTAACAAGACACTTCACTCAGGGCTTCCTCACAGGGATGCAGCAGTCTGGAGCTTGCTGGGTGTGAGCTTTTCAAATGGCTTTCTGCTCTCCTCTACCCCTTTAGTTTTTTGAGACAGGGTCTCACTGTGTAGTTCTAACTGTTCTGGAACTCTCTGTAGACCAGGCTGACCTCAAACTCACAGAGATCTCTACCTTCCAAGTCCTGGGACTGAAGGCGTGCACCACCATATCTGACTTTCTCCTCTCTTGCTTTTCAGTAAACTTTGCTTCTCATCCTGCAGTCCATATTAAACTAGACAGTGACAGCTATCTTCTGTTGTCCTTTCCCACGGGACTATGAAAGAGGGCATCAATGTGATAGAGTTTTAAAATTTTCCTCTTTTGTCAGCAGGCCACCTGTCCTGCTAACAGTGGTATTGTTCTTCAGTTTTTATTGTACAGTGTTTTAACAACTGATACTCAATGTAGCGTTGAGTCCCCCGGTGGCATCAGTATAAAATAATTGCTGTTTATTCTAATCCAAACAATAGTGTCTGCCCAGGGTGACAGGATTCACAAGCTCCTGCAGTCCTAAACAAAAGAAAAGGCTCATGTAAAGCAAGTAATGCATGTAATGCATCGGGGAGAGCCTCGGGTACATGGATGCAATGAAGCAGGGAAAGTTCTTCTGTGGTTCCAGATGTTCAGCTTTAGCTTCAGGGCTTAAAGGTCAGAGAGTGGCCAAGCCTAATGGTGCACTCTGTGAGGCTTTCTTAGTAATCACTGGGATATTGGCTCAAATACAAAGCTCGGCAGTTATGAGGAACAACTTAAAATGGAGGAAGGATGTGTTCTGGTTCGAAGACTTGATGTTTCAGTGCTCATCCTGCTGGCTTCACTGCTTTGGGCTTGAGGTGAGGTAGAACATCATGGTGGGTGGGAGTGTGGGGAGAAAGAGGCTATTGACTTTGGCAGAGAGAGACAGGAAGAAGGGGCCAGGGACAAGGTATATCCCCTAAACACATCCCCGGTGATCTGTGTACTCCAAACAGGCCTCACCTCCGAAAGTTTCCCCCACTTTCCAAAAACGTAACCACAGACTGATCAAGGTCATGTTGAACTATTTCAGAGTAGTAAAAGCATGTAATGATGGTTTCCTGAAACAGCACCAGACCATTGCCCAGGAAGAGATTTGTTTAATAGGTACCACTTTTTTGAGGAGAGCTTAGAAAGCAAACCTTTGAAAATATGTAGATGGCTTTTAGAAACAGGAAGCCTCAGAATACTGAAAAGGATGGCAGAGGGGAAGATAAATAATAGACAGGCAGCTTTCAGAACATTGAAAATAATTCCCCAAACAAGGGTGTATATAAACTTTTTAGTTTGTGTTTCTCCATAATTCTTGCCAGAGCTGGCCAGCCCCATGTATATGGAGTTGAAGTTTATTCTTTCCTCCAAGACTCAGTAATGGTAGTCTGTCAGATAAACTGATAGAGATATGAAGGGGGGAAAAACCATGTGGATTTTATCCCATGTCTGAGGGTGGGACTAAGAACTGGAAGGCAGAATTATCAGAAAAAGAGGCATGAGCTTTTGAGCTGCAGGTAGAGAAGGCAAGGGCAGTTGGTTGGGGCAAAGAGAAACATATATGCAGTCAGCCAGGCTGGTTGTTACACAGATGAAGCCTCCCTACTAACAGCCTTATATGGTTTTCTGCTCGGTGTCAGACCTCTGTGTTTTCCTCCAGGTTGAATGGACAGAGGGAACACCAAACCAAAAATCTCTGCCTACTTCTTGTGTTGCTTGTTTTTGTAAAGAGGAGGCTTTTCAGACACTCCTGAGTGTGCAAAGATCTGCAGTTTATCTGAGGTGTGGGATATTTTACTCTCCCACAAAGGCTCAACTTACTGGCTCTTAGGCTATTATCATTTTCATTTTGGGGCCAGATCTACTGCATGTCATCTCATGAAGTAAATGAAGTACATGAAGAGGTGATAATAGAGTTTACTGTGTTTGAGATAGCAGGAAAACAATTGTATTAAAGTACAAGGCTTATCTCTGTTTTACAGGTGTTAATACGTGCAGCCTTTTTGTGTGTGGCATGCTCATCAGAGTCCATGGCAGAGTTCCACAGATTGTTTCAAAAGAGCCCTGTTCCAGCTCCTTCTCCGAAACTTCAAGTAACTGCTGTTGAGTTGTTGCCATGTGTGTTTCCAGGTGATTATGCGAAGTGGTCAGCCTCTGACTGGCACAAATGGCCGACGGTGCAAGGAAGATGAGAAACTGATAAATGCCACCCTCAGAGCAGGAAAGCGTGGCTACCTCATTGACACCAGATCACTAAATGTGGCTCAGCAAGCTAGAGCCAAAGGAGGTGGCTTTGAACAGGAAGCTCACTATCCCCAGTGGAGGCGGATTCACAAGTCCATTGAGAGGTAAAGAGGCCCGGGAGTGGGGACTCCCTGTAGCTGATTGCAGAGCATGACCCTGTAGCTGCTTGAAACAGAGATCACAGCTACTCCACATAATTGAGAGTCTGGAGTAGGCTAGACAATCTACAGTGGGCTTCCCAGTCCTATCTGTTTTACTAAGGTGTAGTGGATGAAAATGTATGTTTGTTAATGCAAAACAGCTCTCACTTCAGAGGGAATAAGAGTGAGTTTATTCTTGAACCAAATACAATGACCCTGGCCCAGAAACACAGGTTTGGGTTGCCTCAAACAACATGTTCTGATGTGCAAGTGGCTTCACGAAGTTTCGTAGTCTCGGGATGAATGACATCAAACAAGGCATTTTCCAGATACACTAGTGGGAGCATCAGGTAGGCGGGGTACAGCAAACTGGGGGCTCTCCGCTGACAGGTCTCAGGGGCTGTCTCACAACATTCTTAGCTTTGATGCTGTCTGACAGTACTCATTTGCCAAGTGACTGTGCTCCAGAGTTTTACCAGTGGTTGAAAGGTTAGGTCAGACGGAGCTGGGCAGTAGATGGCTACCAAGGGGCAAGAGGTAATCAAGCACACATTGACTCTGAATCTGCAACATTCCAACTCCACAATCTCAACGTTCAAATCAGTCATCCTTGTGGTCTTAACATAGGTGTGACTGTTTTCTGCAAATTAGTTCGCACTATTGCATATGATGTGCTGTTTTGATTCAGCTGTAAATTGAGAAACGATGAAGCATCACAGCTATCATCTCACCTACTTGTTTGGGGCAAGTATTTGTGCCTTTCTGTTAGCAGTTTTCAGTTGTCCTGTAGCTGCTGCAACTGTCTGTAGAAGCTCCTTCCCAGGTTCGTGGCTTGCAATCCTGAAAGAACAAACCAGAAGAGAAAGAAAGGAAGGTTCCTAATTCATTGCATCATGGCAGTGGCAGAATTGGGACTTGTGAAAAGTCATGAGGCAAATACCAGAGGTCCACAGATTTAGTTGTCAGTTTAATAAGTGCTTTCCTGGGAGAAGGGTGACCGGACTGCCTGCATTCTTGGCAGGTGAGTTTTAGCACTGTCTTTCCTTCTATTTCTGGCAGCAGAGTACCATTGGATTTTGTTATACAGAATCTGCAGATTGATTTGGGTAGGAAGGTACTCTAACCATTTTCCCAGCCCATGAACATGAGATCTCTTTCCATTGGTTTGTGTCCACATTAATTTCTTGAGCATTTTATAGCCTTTGGTGTATACATCTTTTACAGTCTTGAGTAAATTATTCTTTTTGTTAATGAGATTTCCTTTCCTTTCTTTCTTTTTTTCTTTCTTTCTTTCTTTTTTTTTTTTTTTTTTTTTTTTTTGTGGAGCTAGGGTTTCACTGGATAGTCCTGGCTGTCCTGGAACTCACTCTGTAGATCAGGTTACCCTGAAACTCACAGAGATCTGCTTGCCTTTGCCTCCTCAGTGCTAGAATTAAAGGCATGCACTTGGGGCCTGGAGGGATGGCTCAGTGGTTAAGAGCATTGGCTGCTCTTCCAGAGGTCCTGAGTTCAATTCCCAGGAATCACAAGGTGGTTCACAACCATTTATAATGGGATCTAATGTCCTCTTCTGGCAGGTGTACATGCAGATAAAGCACCATATACATAAAATAAATAAGACTTTAAAGGCATGTGCCATCACCACCCAGCAATATTTTTCTATTTCTTTTCACATAGTTCACTGCTAGGTTGTAGAACAGTGCCTGACTAGGGCTGGGGAGATGGCTCAATCAGTTAAAGTGCTTACAGCATGAAGGCCTGAGTTCAGCTCTCCAGCACCCATGTAAAAGGCCAGATGTGGTGGTGTGTACCTATAATTCCAGTGGGGAGCTGGGGACACAGACAGGACAATAGAGGGTTCCAGAAGCTCATTGACCAACCAGTATAGCTGAGTCAGCAAACTCCAGGTTCAGTATCTCAAAAAAATATAATGGAGAACAATAAAGGAAGACACCTGATGTCAACTTCTGTTAATCTACTTGTGTATGTGTGCCTCTGCATGCACGTGCGCGCACGCACATACACACACACACACACACACATACACACACCTCCTGACTTATATATGTTGGTTTTGCAACTAATCTGAATTTTTTGTTTGTTTCTAACATTTTTTTTCTGGAGTCTTTAGTTTTTTTTTCTATTTGTAAGATACTTTTGTTTGCAGAGACAATTTAGCCTCTCCCTTTCGGATTTGTTTGATTTATTTCTTTCTGCTGCCCATTGCTCTAACTAGTATCATGATGAAAACAGGCTTTTTTGTCTTGTTACTGATCTTCAAGGAGACACCTTCAACTTCCCCATTGAGGATGATGTGGCCGTGGGGTTGTCAGAGGCACTGAGTGTGTTCTGGTTCTTTTTTTCCCATAGGCAATTGGTGGAGTCTTTATCAGGAAAGGATGCTGGCTATTGTCTAATGCTTTCTCTGTGTCTGTTGAGATCCTTGAGCATTCTGTTCTGTGCTTCTGTGTATGTGTTGATTAGTTTGAGTTGTGTCCTAGTGTGTAAGGGTTGTGGTTCTGAGTGATGGTCCTTTAAATGTACTGTTAAGTTCAGTTTGCCAGTGTTTTGATGATCTTACATCTATGTTCCTCATGGGTATTAGCTCATGATCTTCTCTTATTTGTTTTTGTCTGGCTTTGATATTAGAGTTGGACTAGTAGGTAAATTCACAGTGTTCTCTTCAGGCTTTTGGGAGACCGACAGGACTGGTATTTGGTTCTTTTAAGGGTTTGGTAGCTTGTAGGACCTACATGACCTGGACTTTCCTTTGATGGCAGATTTTTGCTTATTGTTACTGGTTTGTCTTTTGTTGACTCATCGTGCTGTTCATATTTTCTGTTTACCTCATGACTCAGTCTTGTCAAGTGCTGTTTTCCTAGTACTGTGCTCATTTTTTAGGGTATCCAGTTTGTTAATGTATAATTGCCCATAAAAGTCCACAATCCTTTCTTTTTTCTTCTTCCTTTTGAGACGGGATCTCACTACGTAGCTCCTGGCTGGATTGGAACTCACTATGGAGCCCAGACTAGCCTCAAACTCACAGACACCCTCCTGCCTCTGCCTCTGGAGTGCCTGGACTAAAGACCATTGCACATGCATGTTCCTATGATCCTTCCTACTCCTGTGGTATCAGTTGCAGTGTCTCCTCCTGTATTTCTCATAACATTTGCTTGAGTTTTCTCTCTTTTTTATTTAGTTGAGCTACAGAGTTATCAATTTCAGCAATTCGTGTGTGTATGTGTTTTGTGTGTGCAGCAACTGAACACAAAGCTTAGGTACATTAAGCAAATGAGCTCCACCCAAGTCTTTATTGAATTTTGTAAGATAAGCAAAAGTTTTCATGCTGAATAAGCACAGATAAGCCCCACTAGATAGCAATCTTTTTTCATTCAACCCTGAGCTTTTACAGTATCAACTGCTGCCAGACTGACAGAACAGACTTGCTACATATAATTACATCTTCCTACATTAGAAGGTTTAGAGGTTCAGTGTCTCCTGGAACCACCTGTTTCCTCCCTGTGTTCCCTCACCTGCTTGCTTCTCCTCAAAGGAAGTCTTCACAAGTTCTTCAGGGGATGGCGGGTGGGGGTGGAGGCTTGGAACTAAGATGACCAGGATTTGGGTCTGGTCTTGGGTGTCACTGCTGAGACCTGGATGTGTGATCTAGATCATTCAGCAGCCTTAGGGTCGAGGTGTAAGTTGCCCTATGTCTTGGGATCACGCAGTAACAGAGCATAGTGTCCTGAACTCTGCCCTCCCAGGTAACCCAAGTGTGTGGACTGGGTCTCCTCTGTCCAGCAGGAATGGTTTTCCACTAGACAGTAAAGCCTCTTTGCAGTGGTGCTAAAAGTCTTTTACAGCCCTTCATCCTCAAGTTGCTACACAGTAGTGTGTTCTGAATTGTCTTGCCACTGAGTGCACTGGAGACAGATTTGGGTTTGCTTTCTGGTCATTCTGTCTTATCTATTCCTTTCTCTTTCTGTAACTTTCTCTTTCTTGTTTTAAAAGGTATCATGTTCTTCAGGAGAGCTTAATCAAACTTGTGGACGCATGTAATGAACAAACCCACAACATGGACCGATGGCTCGGCAAGCTGGAGGCCTCCAACTGGCTGACACACATCAAGGAGATTCTAACCACTGCCTGCCTGGCAGCCCAGTGCATTGACAGGTAGCCTCTCTGGATGACTCACACTGACGGCCAGACAGCATTCTTATCCAGATGTGTGCATAGAGTGCATTAAAGATGGCTTTATCAACACCGTGGGGAGGGTGGGAGGTAGAGGGGTCTGCGTACAGTTACTGGTGAGGGTGTGGGTCAGATAGGGAGTGACCATGTATGTTGAGTGAATGTGATTAGTGTCCATGCACATACCTCTGATGACACATTTTGTAAATACCACAGGTCTACTTTTTCTATGGAATCCTTAAATTATGAATTTGCCATGAAAAAGAATGAAGTGTTCTTCACCGAATCAGTTTTTACTATGTTTGGGTTCCCTTTTCTGATACATTGGAATTTATACCTCAATAAAAATTGGCTTTATAATTAATTGCTCAAATACAGAAATAAGCCTTAAATTTTTCAGAGTAAATAGTACTTATAGTTAAGAGATACATTCAATATGTATGAAAGCCAAAAGCTTATATTCTTTAGCATAATTATTAGATATTATTCTAAGAATGGGGTAATATAACCTACCATTGGTGGAGTCTGTTGTTTGCACAATAAGAGCTCCAAAATAATCCCACAAACAAGTACATCAACCATAGTATCACAAAAGATATAGGACTTAATAGATTATAATCACTTGAAGGAATATTATATAGCCATTACTAAGTAATTCTAAACGTGGCATAAAACATAGTTAATGTTTACAATGAAAGTGAAATAGTAGGAAATTGCTTTTATTATTAGTAGGTAATTATATATATATATATATATATATATATATATATATATATATATAACCTGAAATGTCCTTTTTCCAAAATTGTCTTTACCGTGGTTTCAATGAAAGGGTAGAAGGAGGCAGGGTGTGTGGTTCATTTAAGTGTCTCTTTAGGATAGTGAGTCTTAGGAACCAGTAACTCGCCGGGCGGTGGTGGCACACGCCTTTAATCCCAGCACTCAGGAGGCAGGGTGTGCGGTTCATTTAGGTGTCTCTTTAGGATAGTGAGTCTTAGGAACCAGTAACTCTTATGGGTAGGGGTGTCATTGCCAGGCCTTCTGGGCTACAGTTACATGGTTTTTGGTTGTGGTTTTTTTTTTTTTTTTTTCATCCATTACCATTGGGGAAGGCTGAGTTCAAGGTTGGAAAGGTCATCTTAATATGTGTTTATAGGTTTGGTGGGAAAGGTTTTGCTCAGCTACTAAAGCAGGAAAAGCAAGTACCAGCTCTGACAGGACTGTTGTCCAGGGTTGGAGGATCATCTGGAAGGCACTACTGGCTGTGTTGACTTAGGAGGACTCTTGCTGTGTGAAGTTTGGGATTCACTATGGTCTCCTATTTCCCCAGAGACCTTCACCTGTCCAGTGTCTCATTTAGATTCCATAGTCTACTGACAAGGCAGGGCAGGGGCCTGGAGCACTCTGCTCATGGAATGCTGGTTGTTAAGGAGTTTCCTATCTACTCTGGGTTTTCCTCTCAGGGAGGGAGCGTCGGTATTGATTCATGGGACAGAAGGGACTGACTCCACGCTCCAGGTGACTTCCCTGGCCCAGATCATCCTGGAACCAAGAAGCAGGACCATCCGTGGCTTTGAGGCCCTGATAGAAAGAGAGTGGCTGCAGGTGAGAAAGAATGGGACTGCCTGTCATTGATTGAAGTCTCAGTTTGTGGTGCTAATAATTTGAATGAAGTTCTGATTATTTAAAAGATTTAGGTTGTATGTTTAATTTTCTGTGGGTCAGTTAATCCACTTTCACACAAATGAGTGTTAGTCACTATCTTTCAGTTTCTCAGTCTCCCATGTTGTGTGGTGAACTTGACCTGTGTGCATGTGAGCAGGTGATCCACCACTGAGCTGCAGCCCCATCCCAACACTTCTCTTGGCTTATACGGCTCACTTAGCACGTCATTCACCTTCATAGCTGTGCAGGTTGAGCATCCCAAATGTGAAAATCCCGAACTCCTGACCTCCTGTGCTCGCTGCAGTGGAAATGCAGGTGCAGAATGAGAGTGCACAGATTACCTCGGGCTGTGTGGATAAGGCGTGTAAATATCTCATGCACATATTTTTCCAAAATACAAAAAACCCCGAATCCCAGCTCTCTTCTGGCCCCTAGTGTTTTAGACAAGGAATCCTCAGCACGTGCTTTGTTACCAACAAGGGAAATAGAAAGAATGCAAAACAAACTGTCTCCCAGATAAACTGGGGAGAAGGGGTGTGTGGCCACAAGATAGGACTTGAGCATTTTCTGCCTTTTGTCCAGCCTGCTCCAGCCTACAGATTTCCTGTAAAGATCCAGTGAAATGTCATGCTTTAATGGTGTGTTTGAGACCTAAATCTCCTTTCACACACAGTTGATCCATTCCCTTCAGGTTCTGTCTTTATGGATAGACTCTTATCCCAGATGTATTTCTCCCTAGGACACAACACTGCCGTATACTTTTAGCATAATGCCATATAATGACTATTAACAGACAGGCCTTGGATTGAGGTTGGAATCAAGTCCAAGGATTTTATAAATTGGTCATTAACTTCTACCTTGCATTTGATGTCTGAAGGGTGTTTGCAGTCCCCATATTCATTTCTTCACTACACAGCTTCACTAAGGGTTTGGAAATTGTAATTTTTCCTTAGTTGCAGAAGTTAGTCATCTGAACCCAAAAACTCATCTAGTCAGGAGCTACTTGGTTTTCTGGTATTCCAGTAAATAGAAATGCTGCTGTGCTTGTGTGAGGTGGTGTTCCCGGGTGGGATGGGCAGGATCCTCACATTTCCATCTTGTCCACTAGGCTGGTCACCCGTTCCAACAGCGCTGTGCACAGTCAGCTTATTGCAACAGCAAGCAGAAGTGGGAAGCGCCGGTATTTCTTCTCTTCCTGGACTGTGTGTGGCAGATCCTCCGGCAGTTCCCCTGCTCCTTTGAGTTTAATGAGCACTTTCTCATCATGCTCTTTGAGCATGCTTATGCCTCACAGTTTGGAACATTCCTGGGCAACAATGAGAGTGAAAGGTGGGTGAGCTCACACCAGGTCACGTCTTAAAAGAGATGGGGTTTGGGTGTCTGTGAATGTTTGTTAATAAGACAGTGGAATCTGCAGTTAAGAACAAATTAAATTACATGAAGTGCAGATGTCCTGTCAGCCAAGTGTGTGCTTTCTGCTGCTGGATTAAAATTAGTTGATGCAGTACTTAAAAGGTTTGAGCAGATTAGCCGGCCATTTTCATATTAATGTCTTGGTGTATGATCATAGTTTCATGTAACCAGGTATGCCCTCCATCCACTTCTGTAGTTCTGGAGGTCCAGAGAAATTAAGTCACCATCCAGAGATACTCATCTAGCAAGGCATCGAAAGTATTACCTGAGGATGGCTCAGCAGTTAGAACACATACAGCTCTTACAGAGGACCCAAATTGTGTTCCTAGCATACTTTTGGGATGGCTCACAACTTCCTGCAAGTACATACATACATGTATGTGTGCATATACCTTGATGTGTGTGTGTGTGTGTGTGTACACATATACATCTCATATATATATGTATATATATATACATATTCACATATATATGCACACATACAGCTATATATATCAGCACACGTATATTGTTGTTGGTTTTTGTTTTTACTCTTTGACTCATTTTGGCTCTTTGGTCTTTGGGGGACCACCACCCAGATCCCAAATAAATCACACATAGAGTCTTATTTTTTCTTATAAACTCCCGGCCTTAGCTTGGCTTGTTTGTAGCCAGCTTGGCTTAACTTAAATTATCCTGTTTATCTCTTGCCTCTGGACTTTTACCTTTCTATATTTCTGTATATCTTTTCTTTCCTTCTTATTCTGTGTCTGGCTGGGTGTCTGGCCCTGATGTCCCTCTTCTCTTTCTCTTGCTCCTATTTATTCTCTTTGCTGCCAGCCCCGCATATCCTTTTTCCTGCCTAGCTAGTGACTATTCAGCTCTTATTAGACCAATCAGGTGTTTTAGACAGGCTAAGTAACACAGCTTCACAGAGTTAAACAAACATAACACATCTTTGCATCATTAAATAAATGTTCCACAGCATAAACCAATGTAACACATTTTAAAATAATATTCTACAAAAGTATACTCAAAAGTGAAAACTTGAAAATGAATCTTTTAACAAGTATAACCTCAATACAGGACTACTGGCTCCTGTTTTACCTGGAAACTGTCCCCAGGTCCTGAGTGACAGTGCTGCTTCACAGTCTAGCCACTGCTGGGTTACAGAAGGGTTCCAGAGTTTCACAACAGATGCCCCTGGCAAATATTTTCATTCGAAAGCATTTTGTCTCTACTGAGTGTTGTTTTCTATCACACAGGGAGTAGTAGAAGGCCTGTTAAGAGGAGCACTGGGGGTGATTGGTAGCCATTAATGACTTTAATAGTGATTTTCTTTCTTGAGCAGATGTAAGTTGAAGCTACAGCAGAAAACAATGTCTTTGTGGTCATGGGTCAATCGGCCCAGTGAGCTGAGTAAATTCACCAATCCACTCTTTGAAGCCAACAACCTGGTCATCTGGCCTTCTGTAGCTCCGCAGAGTCTCCAGCTATGGGAAGGTAATTCCCCTGCCCTGTGCAGAGATCACCTACTCCAAGCTATGCCCTGAGCTTGCGTAGGGTCACTTGCCACAGTAGTTGCTATTTGAAGATTGCCAGCTGGTGACCCACTGACCTGTGTGTGTGTGTTGCTGTTCCCTCCATGTGGGTGTGGCCTCTCTTCCATGGCAGCTAACCAACAGGTAGAGATTAGCAGGGATGCTTTGATAGGAGTTGATAGGTAGCTGGGACATGAATGAATTGCAAGTTCCTGGGGGAAGGTTTCTATCTATTTCCTTTCTTAAGCTATTAATGCAGTTAAACGAGTGTCCACAGTCATTCCAGTAGGTTCTGTATGTAGACACAAAATGCTATCAGTGGAGCTGCAGGACAGCTGTTTATGTGGGATAGCAGATCATAATGCATTTCTGAGTGTGTTCTGAAACAGGTTCTTACATGTGCGATTTTCAGACCTCTGAAGCTAATCTCCTTAAATACCAAAGCTTGTTTTTAACAAAATGACCAGAACTCACATAGAAATATTTTAAGTGTTCATTCCACCAGGACAGTAGAAGTACCATTCAATTTTATAATTACTTTGAAGACAGTAAGTGCATCTTCATGCATGTTTGCACTAAGAAGCATAGATACAGGGAGATCATTGTTTGGTAAGTTCACCTAGGTTACCGTGAATGCCCATTGTTAACTCCTTCTAATGTTTTGTGATCTTAAGGTAGCTCATGTATGGAAAGTGACTTGCCCATTGTGTGATGCTTTGCTTTTCTGGTTTGCCTCTTGTTCCTCTTGGTACATCTGCCAAATTTTGGGAAACTAAATGTCTCCAGCAATGTCTGTCTAGGTTCCATGAACAGGGCCTGTGAATCTGTGAAGTTTGGCTTCCCTGAGCAAAACCTCTCTGCTTACTCTATGGATTATTGTAGATAACCATGGGTCACAGAATAAGTAATTTCTTAAATGAGGAATTGCCACTCTGCGTCCTTTTTAAGATCTTGGGGATGGTGAAGTAGCTCAATGACAACCTGAATTCTGTCCCCAGGATTCATGTAGTGGAAGTAGAGTCTACTGCCTCTGGCAGCTTGTCCTCTGACTCTCTCTCTCTCTCTCTCTCTCTCTCTCTCTCTCTCTCTCTCTCTCTCTCTCTCACACACACACACACACACACACACACACACACACACCATCTATATAAAATGTAATAATTTTTTTTACTGTTTCTGAGGCAGTTTACTTAAAAGATACTGTCTACTTAATCATTGAAATGAGAGGTCAACTATTTGAGACAAATGCCCTGTCTGGAGTTAGGTGGCTTGAAATATGATTTAATGATTTTACCAAATTCAGTGGGAATTTAGAGGTGAAGTGTTTGTCTATGTCATAGGCGGCATTAATAGTGACTTCTAATTGAATAGTAGACAAAGTAGTTGTGAATTGAAATAACATAAGCCAGCTTTCTCTTAAGCACTTATCCTCCATGTCTGTGGATTTCATTTGCACAGACAAAACCAGATGTGGATTGGAAATTTCAGTAAGTCTGCCTTGTGGCAGGTTGGTTTCTTGTTCTTATTCCCTAAACAGCATAGTACCATGGTTGTTTATCGTGTTCATGCTGAATTAGGAACAGACATCCAGAGATGCTTGTGTGCGGAGGTTAGGAGTAAACACTGTCACTTGATGTAAAGGATTCAGTATCGAAGCACATGATACCCAGGGTGATTCTGGAGCCAGTCACCTGAGATGATATCTGTCCTTCCCGTCCACAATGAGCCCGTGATTGCTGTCTGGGGAAAGGAGCAGTTGCTTGTGGAGTTAGAAGATGAGTAACGGTGGCAGTGGAGTGATATGAGTCATGAACAGTTCAAGTTGAGGCTTAAAAAACAGCCTGTGCATCCAGGCAGTGGTGGCTCACACCTTTAAGCCCAGCACTCGGAAGGCAGAAGCAGGCGGATCTCTGTGAGTTCTAGGTCAGCCTGGTCTACAAAGTGAGTTCCAGGACAGCTAGGGCTGTTGTTACACAGAAACCCTATCTCAAAAAAAAAGAAAAAAAATCCTGCTACTGTCACCATCCTTTTCCAGTGAGGATGCTGTCACTTTCCCAGTCAGTCAGTATCACAGACCAATAGGAGACTGCAATTGTAAAAACGGGTGACTGATTTATGAAAGTGAAGGTCATGGCACTGTAGTTTCCTGAGCATGTGACAACAGTGTTTTTGTTTGATAACCAGTGAGTATGTCTTATGACAACAGCAGTTCTTAGCTACTGTGTGGATTTGTCAGTAACTGAAGAATCTGTGTACTTTAGAGAATCATGATGCACAGAGTGAACCAGATGTGATGGTGCATGCCTGGAATCCTAACCGAATGGAGGCTGAGGCAGGAGGATCACGGAGGATCCTGAATTTCAGGCTAGCTTGGTCCGTTTAGTGAGACCTGTTTCTCAAAATGAGGAAGGCTGTAGCTCCATATAGAGTATTTGTCTGGCATGTGCAAGGTCCTGCGTTCTATCTCTAGTGCTGCAAACAAAAATCTAAACAAATACAACATGGGTTGTGGAAAATGAACAGTAGTGCATGGAGTTCCGGTGACAAACGTCTTACTACTACTGTTTTCATTCCTGGGCTCTACAGGGATTTTCCTACGTTGGAGCAGATCCTCTAAGTATCTGGATGAAGCATATGAAGAAATGGTTAACATCATTGAATATAACAAGGAGTTACAAGCCAAGGTCAATATCCTGAGGAGGCAGTTGGCTGAATTAGAAACAGATGATGGACTACGAGAGAGCCCTTGAAAGACCTCCCCAACTTTCCTGAGGACCTATCTAGGCCTCAGTCTGTCTCTCCCTCTGTTTGCCCTTCAGTTCACTGTACACAGTAGCCTGGAATTGGCTGTAAGTGTGGGATCCCGGAACGTTACGGCTTTCTCAGCACTGCAAGATGGAAGTCACTAACACACACCCATTTGGCCTGTTAGGCCCTTTGCTTTGGGAGCAGGAGTTGCTGTCATATCACCAACTGTGACACTATGCCCTATGCTGTCCTCCATCACTACTTTCGTAACGGTGGTCCAGACTAGTTAAATATCCATCTAAGACGTGGGCCGGGCTTATCTGCATTCAAGTATACGAGTGTTTTTAAAAACAGAAATGGTTGAGAAGCCAGAATTTTGTGTTTAACATGTTGTCCTGCCCCCTACTCCTTGCCCCCAGGTATAAAATGACCATTGTCCTTTAAAACAGTTTTGGACTAACGAAGCCTATTTTGTCAAGAAGGAAAAATCAGAATAGTTATTTGCGATAAATTGTTCTACAAGGACAACAGGTGTAGTCTGATAATTTCATTAAGAAAAGGTAAATTTACAAGTAGACACTAAAAGTCTATGCCATAGAGAATTGAAGTAGGAATTCCTCACTGGTAGCCATCTGCTACCATTGCATTGACTTTTCAGAGTTTTGACCATACATACAAAATGTGCTTTGAGTCATGAGTGTGAATGAAACCATAGCTTGAAAAGAATTCACTTTTAGAACTATACAACACATACAGAACCCATAAGCCAGAGGCCTGAGTTCTTATTGCACTGGTTGGTATCGGTCCCTTTGTGACTTATTTTACTTTTGAAAATTGAGTTGACTTGTGCTACAGCTAGACTTTCATGTCAGCTGGAGCCATTTGCAAATCTGCCTGCCCACTTGTTCTTCCTAAGTTAGGCAAATAGGCTCGCACTGGGGTGGGAAGCTGGGAGTGGCACAGCTGTTTGAAACCTTGCTGTATCAGAAACAGTACTGCAGCAGCTGCCTTCAGCTCTGGGTGCTGCTGGAGGCGGCATCTCTCTAATCTCAGCACTTGGAAAGCCAAGGCAGGAGGCCTTTTAAGTTTGAGGCCAGCCTGAGCTATAAAGTGGGTTCCTGGCTAGCCTGACCTACCTAGTGAGACTGTCAAAAAGACTCTAGCAGGATCTGTGGCCCCTGCTGAAGCATTGGAAAGTGGCACTGTTTTCCACCTTTGTCCTTCCTTCCACCTGTGCAGCAGGTCAGGAACCAATCAGCAGTCCTGATTCTGCTGGCGTCTTGTCCACTGCACCTCTAAGCTCATCTCTGTTCTTGACCTGCTCTTTGGCTCGCTGATGAGCAGAGCACAAGCGAGACTTCCTTACTGTAGGCCTGTTTTATGTGCTTTCGCCTATCCATCTTAGTTTTGAAGAAGAAATTGCCTGGATTTCTTGGGGCTGCTTGGTCACCAGCCCTATCTGTCACTCTGCCACTGCTTATATGTTTTCTTCTATTTTTGTCTCAGCTACATGTGAAGGAGTTCTCTACTTCTCAGCTGATGGACCCACAAGGAAAACCATCTGGAGGGTTTTTCCTTCGTGGTTCTTCGGAAGGGATCCCCACTGCTGTGGACTAGTCTTAAGGCATCTGTGCACAAAAACTTGGGGATTTTATTATGCCTAGCTAGGGAGAGATCTGCTGCCCTACCCGACCCACCCCTACCAAATCCCCATGTGCCTGCTCCCTGATGAACACTTGATGTGCATCCAGAGTTATGATAGTGGTATCCAGTATTCTTTGTCTGTTTCCTTTTCCCATGAAACAGCAATCATCACTGTTTTTGACAAGCTTGCATTTTAGTGTGGATTTATAGAGATTATCCAAATGTTAGCTTTGAAGGCAAACCTTGGTATCAGTCCACTTTCCAAGGATCATTTAATAATGCAAATACTATAGTTTCGCTAAGCTATCTCTGTGAGTTTGAGGTTTCGTGGAGTCACGCTGACCACACCCTTCCCTTGGGTGCAGTGAATGAATGCAGCAGCCACACTTGGGAAACTGGTTCCATGTTTTGCTGAGTTGCTTGAATGATCATGGTTGTGAGACCTCTAGTGAAGAGGATTGAGGCACAATTCTCAAGCAAGTGAGGCTGTAAGGTCCAGTAATAATCCATGAGGCCTCAGACACCCATGTACCCGTGGTCTCTGCTTACATCAGAGGGGATTTCACAGTGCAGGCCACGGACTGAAAGCATCAGAGGTCATCGCTCGCCTTTGTCAGCAATGCAAGGGTGTTTTGGTACAATCAGAAAACGAGTTATTTGATCATCTAAGAAACCTGAAACAACTTTGTTGGCAAGATTTTACAGTGATGTCAGTAATTTTTATATTGTATGCCATGAGAGAAAAGCAAAAATAATAAAGTCCTATAGTCTTAGCACACATATTTTAAGGAAAAATTAAGACTGTCAACAGGCAAAAATTAAGAGTGATCTTTTCAAAAAAATCTGGAAGGATGGTAGCAGGCCTGAAATAGAGTTGGGTCTTATTGCTGCATTTCACTTTGAAAAATGAGGTCTAGTGGGATTTTACCCTTTGATTTGGTTTGTGTTAAGTTAATATTACAGGAAACTTTGACCAGCATTTAATATCCCAGTGTGAAAACCAGAGCACAGCATTTGTCCCCATCTCAGTCCACAGAGGCCCTGGCCCCTCCGGGTCTGTTTTGGGTGCCGCTGTTGTCACTGTTAGGCATGCTTACCAGACATCCATCTGAAGCTGGGGCTGTGAAACCTGTCCACTTGTGCTAGAGGCGGCTGCATGAGGGTGTGGATATTCCGCCTTAGAAAACTGTGCCTGGGCAGGAACTAAGACAGCCCCCACTCCAACAGATGCTGTCATTGGGTACATCTGGGACAGATCATAGCATAGCTTCTCATTGTGTCTCAAGATGACTTCCTTACAATATCAACATGAGGAAAGTGCTCCTTCATAGCTGGAACTTTAAGTCACTACCAGAGTGTTTTTATGTTTTTCTCCATTTTAACAGGAAATGGTGAAACTAGTTTCTACTTTTGTATTTATGGCAGATGGTACAATGTGCAAAATTTCCTTTCTACTGTAAGTTTCCAAATTTTTATTTCTTCTAATAAATTTGGTTCTGCTTCTATTCTGCCTCATAACCTACTGTCCACAGCAGTTTCTTCCTTCGACCCACATTCCTGGAGGAAACCCAAGATTGTACAACTAGGTTGTAGACTTCTGAACTTGTCTGACTGTTAAAACGAACAGCCCACAGAGGCACAAATTGTGCTCATGGTGAGCAGTCAGGGAGCTAGCTCACTGTAGGCACTGCATTGTCCTCACGGAGGCAGCTTTCAGAGCCTTTCCCTTTAGCCTCCCGCATTGAAGGATTGACTATGTGACTTGTAATAGAGAACATTGTGCAGCACTGCCTGCATGTGTTGTGCTGAGGCCCTGGCTCCACTTTTAAACTGCACGTCTTGGGGAAGGTGGGGTATTCCCACAAGTGTATCTAGAACCCTGTTGCTTAGTCCTGAGAGATTTGCTAGGTTTACACCAAAATAATTATACTTGCACAACTCAGCTTAATTTAGAAAAAGAATATATATTTATTTCCTCAGTAGCTAAGCATTAGGATTGTACTCTGTATATTTGAATGTGACTGTATCAAAACGCACTGTCATTCCTGTTTTGCACAATAAAGTTGCACTGTATGGCAAATGTGTTTATAATGTATGCTTTGTTGAAACCTGAGAATGCTGTATGGAACAGTTTGTTGTTGCTGTTGTTTTAAGTTTGTCTGTGCATGTGAGTATGCACACACACATATACCCTTAGGGAAAATCTGAGCTTTTGGAAGTCTGCCTGCATGCCACCATGCTCCCCACTGTAAGCCCCCAATTAAATGTCTCCTTTTCTAAGTGTTGCTTGCCCTAGTCTTAGTGTCTCTTCACAGCAATAGAACAGTCAAATCACTACAGGGTCTCAGCTCAGGCTGCCCTTGAACTTTCTCTGTTACTTGAAATTATCTTAAACTTCTGCTCCTCCTGTTTCTATCTCCCTAGTGCCAGAATTGCAGGCATGTGCCACCACTCAGAGTTTTGTCACAGTCCTCACTCACTCCTTTGAATCAGTATGTGAAGGTCTCTAGCAGGCCTGAGCATGGCAGACATGGCTCTGACAGATTTTGCCCTCCCCCTTGCTAAACCGTTAGAGCACATTCCTAAAGCTAGCTACCAAGATCTATTCCCTTATTTGGCCACTTCCCTATGCCTGACTCATTCCTGAGTTTGATCATCAAGATACAACTATCAAAACATCAAAGTCCAGCAATCAAAAATCCCCATTTGGCTACCCAGTTAACATACCCAACCAGAATTTACCAACCCATCCTAGCTCATTCTAACACAGACCTCCCCTTTTTCCACTCTTAAAATTAACACTTGTAAAGCTATTTGCTGCTGTTTCTGCAGGATTCGGATTCAGCCATCTTGTCTCTGTGCTTAATAAACTCTCTTTGTGTTGGCAATTGGTGTTTGGGTGTAGTCTATGTTCACTCCGTAGTCCAGAGGGGAGTACTCCTCCGTGGTGCTTGGTGCTCTCATCACTTCAGTAGGGACTGGAGGATGCTTATCCACTTTTAATAGTTTAGGTTTGTGTTGAGATCAGTGTCTCCATATGGGAAGGGGTGGAAATTCTACCCCAGTGTCTAAGCTGAGCTCACAAAAGCTTGCTTTGCTGAGTAAAGGCACAAGATGCAAGGCAGGCACAGGCTTGGAAAGCCAGGCTGGCACCGCAGCCCATGGCTCCGAAGTCAGAAAGCCACCAACAGGGTGCTCCCAAAGTGGGACTGGCCTTCTTAGAGCCTTTTAGTTACCCAATCAAGCTTCAAACCTAGCAGGCCTTCCTGTATAGGGGGAACCAACACTTATCACTTCGGGGATGTTGGAAGGGACCTTCAGCTGTGTCTCACACTGGGGGACCCATAGATCAGATCACTTGGAGGACTTGTTACAAGGCAGGTTCCTCAATTTTGTGTTTGGGTCCTATTTTAGAGTTTCTTTGGCTGTGAAGAGACGCCATGGCCACAGCAACTCTTAAAAGGAAAACATTTAATTGGGGCTGATTTATAGTTTCAGAGGTTTAGTCCATTATCATCATGGTGGGAAGCATGATGGCCTTCAGGCAGACCTGGTGTTGGAGAAGGAGCTGAGTTCTACATCTTGATCCACAGGCAGCAGGAAGAGAATGTGATTAGGCTTTGGTTTCTTAGACCTCAAAGCCTACCCCACAGTAATGCACTTCCTCTAAAAGGCCACACTTCCTAATAGAGCGACTCTCTTTGGGGTGCTGTTTAATCACCACAGGCCCCCTACTTCCTCTGGGATCACACTGTGAGTACCATGCCCCTCGTGCTTGGAACCCTCCCTCACTGTGTTACTGAGGTTTTTAGGTATTGTAGCCCTAAAAAAGTTAGGCTTGGCCTCAGTATGCTTATCAAAGAGACATGTCATAGTGAAAAGCAGAGAAAGAGTTACTCATCACGGCCACCCTGGGGATAGAACACACAAGAGATAGTGATGAAAAAGAGCACAGCTCTCACAGTGGGGAAAAGTTTGCTCTCGAGCCAAATATGAAAATCATGGGTCAGAGACACAGTCAGTCCACCCTGAATACCATGTCCCAACATGGCCACAGTTTCATAATAACAAAACAAAATCATTTTTAACTTTTTAAAATACTTTATCTCATTTTATGTGTATAGATATTTTGCCAGCATGTATGTCTGTGCACTATAATGTACTAGGTTAGAAGAAGGTGTAAGATCCCCTGGAACTAGAGTTACAGATGGTTGTTAGCTGCCATGTCAGTGCTGGGAATCAAAACCAGGTATTCTGGGTGGGAGAGTTATTGGTATTCTTAACTACTGAGCCATTTACCCAGCTCAAATTAAGACATTTTAAAATACGTGGCCAGGTGGTGGTGATGCACACTTTTTAGTCTCTGCACTAGGGAGGCAGAGGCAGGCAGACCTCTTTGAGTTCAAGACCAGCCTGATCTACAAAGTGAGTTCCAGGACAGCTAGGACTGTTACACAGAGAAACCCTGTCTCAAAAACAGAATGCACGAGTGAGAACTGAAGGCAGGTCAAAGCAAGTTTATAGACACCCAGACAAGGAATTAACAGGCACTTATCTGGGGAGCACTCACGGTGACGGTAAATAATCGCAGCAGGAGATGTAGCTTCTGCCCTGCAGCATGCTCTGATCACATCTGTACACTGAAGCCACACCCTAAGGTGTGGCTATTACCGCAAGTCTATTGGCAGAACAAGATGCCCCTATAGAGAACATCAAGCAGGCAGTGGCAGAGGAGACAGGAAGTAGCTACTATAGTGTTCAGACATATTTGGATTTGTCTTAGTTGCTTTCTGTTGATGTGATAAACACCATGACCAAAATCAACTTGGGAAGAAAAGGATTAAATACATTTTACAGTTTATACTCCAGTAGTTCTCAACCTTCTTGATGTCGTGACCCTTTAAGACAGTTCCTCTAAGATGAGGCTATCTACTCTCTCTAATTTATTCAATATAGTACTTGAAGTTCTAGCTAGAGCAGTAAGACAACAAAAGGAGATCAAATCGGAAGGGAAGAAGTCAAACTTTTCACCATTTGCAGATGATATGATAGTTTACACAAGTGACCCAAAAAGTTCTTCCAGGGAACTTCTACACCTGATAAACACCTTCAGTAATGTGGCAGGATACAAGATTAACTAAAAAAAATCAGTAGCCCTCCTATATACAAACGATAAATGAGCTGAGAAAGAAATCAGAGAAACATCACCCTTTACAATAGTCACAAATAACAATCTTGGGGTAACTAACCAAACAAGTGAAAAACCTGTGTAACAAGAACTTTAAGTCTTGGAAGAAAGAAATTGAAGAAGATATCAGAAAATGGAAAGATCTCCCATGTTCTTGGATAGGTAGGATCAACACAGTAAAAATCTCAATCTTACCCAAAGCAATCTACAGATTCAACGCAATCCCCATCAAAATCCCAACACAATTCTTCACAGACCTGAAAAGAACAATATTCAACTTCATATGGAAAAACAAAACAAAACAAAAAAAGCCCCAAGATAGCCAGAACTATCCTGTACAATAAAGGATCATCTGGAGGCACCACCATCCCCGACTTCAAGTTCTACTATAAGGTTATAGTAATGAAAACATCTTGGTATTGCCATAAAAACAGACATATCAAGCCAGACATTCTCGACCAGAGTCGCCACGATTTCCTACTTCAACAGTGCTTGAACTGAATCCGGTGCTCGACCCCTCCGGCCACCGGGACAGAACCCTTTGCAACCTTGTCGCTCTGCCTCTCCAGCGTCACCACCACGCCCGCCACAGCCGTGACCATCACCAGCCTGACCACCCCGTCTCCCTCGCAAGTGTGCCAGAACTACCACCAGGACTCGGAGGCTGCCATCAACCGCCGGATCAACCTGGAACTGTAGGCCTCCTACGTCTATCTGTCTATGTCTTGCTACTTCGACCGGGATAATGTGGCCCTGAGGAACTTTGCCAAATACTTTCTCCACCAATCCCACAAGGAGAGGGAGCACGCTGAGAAACTGCTGAAGCTGCAGAACCAACGAGGCAGCTGGATCTTCTTGCAGGATATCAAGCAACCAGACCGTGATGACTGGGAGAGCAGGGTGAGCGCAATGGAGTGTGCACTGCACTTGGAAAAGAGTGTGAATCAGTCACTACTGAAACTGCACAAACTGGCCACTGACAAAAATGACCCCTTCATTGAGACACATTACCTGAATGAGCAGGTGAAATCCATCAGAGAACTGGGTGACCGCGTGACCAACTTATGCAAGATGGGAGCCCCTGAAACTGGCATGGCAGAATATCTCTTTGACAAGCACACCCTGGGACACAGTGAAAGCTAAGCTATCCTCCCCAAAGCCACCAGTGATGTCACTGGTCACTGAGGCAGTGCAATCATGTCTAGCTGACCTTACCTTTTCTATAAGTCCACCAAAACATCTACTTAAGTTCTTTAATTTGTACCATTTCTTCAAATAAAGAATTTTGGTACCCCCCCAAAAAACAGACATATCAATCAATGAAATGAAATTGAAGACCCTGATATCAATTCACATGCCTATGAACACCTGATTTTCTACAAAGAAGACAAAACTGTACAATGGAACAAAGAAAGCATCTTCAACAAATGGTGCTGGCATAACTGTACATCAACGTGTAGAAGAATGCAAAGAGATCCACATCAATCCCCATGCACAAAATTCAAGTCAAAATGGATCAAAGACCTCAACATAAATCCAGCTACACTGAACCTGGTAGAAGAGAGAGTGGGAAGTAGCCTTGAACACATGGGCACAGGAGACTGCTTCTTAAATATAACACCAGTAGTACAGACACTGAGAGCAAAAATCAATAAATGTGATCTTCTGAAACTGAGAAGCTTCTATAAGGCAAAGGACATGCTCAATAAAACAAAACAGCAGCCTACAGAATGGGAAAAGATCTTCACCAACCCCACATCTGCCAGAGAGCTGATCTCCAAAATATATAAAGAACTCAAGAACCTAGACACCAAAATGCCAAATAATTCAATTTAAAAAATGAGGTACAGATCTAAACAGAGAATTTTCAACAGAAGAAATTCAAATGGCCAAAAGACATTTAAGGAATTGCTCAACATCCTTAACCATCAGGGAAAAAGAAATCAAGACAACCCTTGAGTACTATCTTACACCTATCAGAATGACTAAGATCAAAATCACTGATGACAGCTTATGCTGGAGAGGATATGGAGTAGGGGAAACACTCATTCATCGCTACTAGGAAGGCAAACTTGTACAGCCTCTTTGGAAATCAATATGGTAGTTTTTCAGAAAATTGGGAATCAATCTACCTCAAGACCCAGCAATACCACTCTCGGGCATATACCCAGAGGATGCACAATAAAAACACAAGAACATTTGCTCAGCTGTGCTCATAGCAGCTTTATTTGTAACAGCCAGAACCTAGAAACAACCTAGAATCCCCTCAACTGAAGAATGGATAAAGAAAATGTGGTGCATTTGCACAATGGAGTATTACTCAGCAGTTAAAAAAAATGACACTTTGAAATTAGCAGGCAAATGGATGGAACTAGAAAAAAAAAACATTTTGAATGAGGTAACCCAGACCCAGAAAGACACAGTAGGTACTCGTTCATAAGTGGATAAAGCCAAGGACAATCAGTCTACAATCCACAACCCCAGAGAAGCAATGAAAGAGATATCTTCATAGATGGAGCCATTGTGGAGTTAGGGAGAAACCTGGTACTAGAGAAATTCCCAGGAATTCACAAGGACGACCCCTCCTAAGAATCCTAGCAATAGTGGAGAGGGTGCCTTAATGGGCCTTTCCCTTTAATCCTGGAGTTCAGTTAAAGAGAGGGAGGAGAGATCATATGAACAAGGGGTGTCAAGATCATGATGGGGAAAACCACAGAGAGCTAGTGGGAGCTCATGGACTATGGACTATGACAGCTGGGGAACCAGCATGGGACCAAACTAGGCCCTCTGAATGTGGGTGGCAGATATGTGGCTTGATCTTTTGGGGAGGCCCCTGGCAATGAGACCAAGAACCTATCCTGGGTACATGAACCGGCTTTTTGGAGCCCGTTTCTTATGGTGGGATACCTTGCTCAGCCTTGACACAGAGGGGAGGGGCATGATCCTGCCTCAACTTGGTATGCCAGACTTTGTTGACTCCCCAAGAAAGGCCTTACCCCCTCTGAGGAGTTGATGGGGGGTGAGTGGGAAGGGGAGAGGTGGAAGGAAGGGAAAGGAAGGGGAGCTGGAGTTGGTTTGTAAAATGAAAAGAAATTAAATAAAAGAAAGAAAAAAGACAGTTCCTCATGTTGTGGTGACCTCAACCTCACAATTATTTTGGTCTACTGCATAACTGTAATCTTGCCACTGTTATGAATCATAATGTAAATATTTGATATTGCAACCTCCAAGGTGGTCATGATCCACAGGCTGAGAACCACTGTTAGAGTTTTAGAGTCTGTCATGAAGGGAAGCTTGGACAGGAACTTAAGCAGAGACCATGATGGAACACTGCTTATTTGTTCAGCCTGGTTTCTTACACAACTCAGGCCTACCTGCCCAGGTATATCACGTACACAATGGGCTGGGCCCTGCTACATCAATCATTAATCAAGAAAATGCCCCCACAGACTTACCTACAGGCCAGTTTGATGGAAGCGATTTCTCAACTGAGGTTCCCTCTTCCCAGATAAGTCGAGCTTGTGTCAAGTCAACAAAAACTTAAGCAGCACAGGGTTGGTAGAAGCTAGGGGTCTTGTTTGTACATTCCAAAAGGATTTACCTAGTAGTCACAAGGATGTTTGATCACACAGAGGGCTGGGTGGTAAATAGCTGTCCAGGGACTAAAATAGTCTGAGATAATCTTGGCTCCCAATCTGTAACCGTCTGGCTTTCCACAGTTAATATGTCAGTCAACTTTGAGGAATGTTTAACATTGATGCTGCTCCCCGCTGCCCCTCTACCCCTTCCCTGGGAAATTCTCTTCGCATCCGCAAGTCCACCTTCCAGCTACTAGCCTGAGAGATAGCTTGACAACCTGAGTTCAATCACTTGAACCCTCCACCAGCCTCCACGTGCACGCGGTGGCTCACGCCTACCCCACCTCCTGTAATCAAATGTAAAATATTTTTGCTCAGACTGGACGGCTACAATATTGGGCCACCAGAAGAGATACATTCAGGCTCCCTCAACTCCAAATGGGAGCCCCTTGGTCAGGCGTGTGCACTGGGGTCTGATGGAGGCTGCCACTCGGAATTTCTAAGCCCTTCCTTAACAGATGATGATGCCCCATCCTAACTGGTTCTTGCTTTGGAAGCCACTTAATTTGATGGCGGTGTTCCCAGCAGGGAACTACAACGACTAAGTGCCTGACTCTTGGAGTCTGTGACACATTTCCAGACACAGGTCCAGAGCAGATCTTTCCAGCTGTGGCTTCCAAGTCCCGAATTCTAACCCCTGTCAATTGTGGAGGGGGAGTGGCCGCCCCCTGGTGCTGTCGTAAGGGTAGCTCCATCCCAGGTATGGGTGTGGGCTCGCCCCAGGCGTCTGGGTGGCGGAGGTGAGGTGGCGGGTGGGCGGGGGGGGGGGGGAAGGGGGGAACAAGGCTCCAAGAGGCCTGGGCGGAGCCAGGGGTGTGGGTGGAGATGGGGATCCTAAGCCGCCAGGCAGGTCCAAGACCCAGAGAGGATAAAGGGCCGAACCAACCGCTGACTCCGCACGTGCAGCTCGGCTCCAGTGTGGCGTTCATAGCATCCAGTCTTCCGTTTCTGCAGGTCAGTGCTGGAGATGGTCCGACGTGTCCCCAGCGGCGCCTGTCCTCGGGGGCTGGACCCCCTATCGGGACGCAGGATGACCAGCGAAGCCCGCTGACGGGGTGGGGGGCCCGGGCTAGTGCTTCGCTGGCCCCGGAGGAGAGAGGCGGGCGCGGGGACTGCTTTCTCCTGTTAAACTTCACAGCAACAGGAGTGGGCACGCGGTTCCCAGAAAACAGGTTTGTCTGGTAATCTGGGATGCTATCTCCGAGAACGATGGGTTAGAAGGCCACCCACACCCTTTCACCAGGGAGCAGATTGAGGCTGTCTGTCCCAGGTTCCTGAGGTGGTTTCCCAAACCCTACAGGTGAAGGGCGGACACTGGTGAGTCGGACCTCCCTCTAAGACCCTTTGTAGCTCACTCTTGAAGCTTTCTTGTTTTCAGGGATCACTATGTAAATTCCAAACTTTTTAAAAAACGACGTGGACCGGGTTAACTTGGACGGAGCGTTTTGCTAGGTGCCTTTCCTAGGTTGTCTGCCTGCTGTAAACCCTCTCAATACGGTGACTCTGTTCGATTTGGGAGAACAAGAATGCAGACCATCCAGGCTGTGTGTGTGTGTGTGTGAGAGAGAGGGGGGGGGGAGTTGAAACGGAGCTGAACTCAGTGGTGGCAAGAAGGTTTGGGACTCACCTCCTTTGGTCATGAATGTCCACCTTACCTTGGACTCTTAATCCTAAAAAATGGGAAAGGGAAAGGACTCCAGCTTCAGGGAGAACTGTAGGGTTAAATATGAATTCTGGAAAGCAGGTGATTCACAAAGCCCAGTAGTTAGGAAGTGCTCAGCTTTTCCATGGACCCTTACTGTTACAATGGTACCTACCCTTACAGCTTAAAGCCCTGACTGCCTTCACTGTTTCTTACCTCTTATGGAAGGCCTGAGATTGTGGTGTGTGTAAATCCAGTGGGAATGAAGGTGTGTGTGTGTAACACAAATAATAATAGACCCAGAGACAGATATTGGGGTTCAAGCTGAAGATCAGAGAAGCAAAGCAGTCAAGCCAGTAGATCTTACCAGCTGAAATGGCAATCCTGTCTCCAGGAATCCTCAGAGGCAAAAGGCTCTGAATTCCTGTCTCCTCCTTGTATTTCTTTCTCTGCCCAGCCATATTCTCCTGTCTCCACCTCCTAGTGCTGGGATTAAAGGCGTGTGCTCACACTTTGTGTGAGCTGTTTCTTTTAGGACTGGATCAATTTCATGTAATCAGTGTGGCCTTGAACTAACAGAGATCCATCTACCTCTTAATCTTGAGTCCTGGGATTAAAGATGTGTATGGCCACTGCCTGATCTCTACAGCTTGAGGCTGGCTTTGTTTTCTGAATCCTCAGGCAAGCTTTAATAAATCATAAATAATATATTACCACAATTCCCCCTTTTTTGTCTAAGAAGAGAGCTACAACTAACATAAGAAAAATTATACACAATAAGTACAATAAGTATGTACAATATATATAGGCAGTAGTTACATTAACAATATCTAGTTCATTTGCATTTGACAAATTCAGAGAAAATACTTCATTATCTATCCTATCTTGGTGAGTGCAAAGTCTTGTACCTAATTTGCTTTTTATTCTAATTTGCATTATCAACTCAAAATTGTCTTTTACTGTCTCTCAACTTTATATATTTTACATTTCTTTAGTGAATTTCTTTTCTGAGTCTGGTAAACAATGAAAACTATAACTATACTATCTAGTCTTCAACTCCCTCAGAGAACTGAGAAGGAAATGATATTAACTAAGTGATCAGGAAGCAAAAGCAAGTGATTTTCAAAAAAATGTGAGAATGACAAAACGGTTGGCTGCCTGGACACTCACCCAAGGTTCCTTTGCTACATTGAGGCATCCATCTTTGGCCTTCAGGCCTAGTGTATCAGGATTTTCTGAAGGGCTGTCCCACCTTGTCTTGGCAAGGTTTTGCAGTCACTCTCTTGCATCCTGTTTGTCTAATTTGGACAACATACTGTCAGCAGTAGAGGCAAGGGCACTTTCTTGCCCCCTGGCTAACTTTTGCCACAAAGAAAGTAAACTCCATATGGAGTTTCTTCAATGCCCATCATGTTCTTTGAAGTAGATTGGTGTTGCTAGGAGCAGACATGACTCATTGTCATAAAAAATAACTATGTTATTAAAACATTTTAAATGCCATATTCTCTAGATCTCTGAAGTGTTTGAAGATGACCTGTGTTTCTAAGATATGTCTCCGTTTGACCTTGAAAACGTACCTAATGTGACTACAAGTTTGATTGTAATAGTTGTCTAATTACTAAACTGTATTTCTTTATTATCCTATATAGTTGATAGTAATAACTTTCAAGGGCTGGAAAATTACTTTACATTGTTAAATGAACTGTATAGGTACAATACCTTGAACAAGATTTAAAAAGTATGTACAGTATGTTTTAATAAAATTAATCTCAAATTTGCATCAATATACAATATTTGTATACAATATACAAATGTCCAATCCATTGTAAAATAGACTAGTAGTTGCTATTTAAAAGTAGATTCAATAATCTACCTTTTTACCTTATCATATCTATATCCTCCCTTCTTTCTTTTCAGAATAGATTCAATAATCTACCCCTTTTATCCTATCATATCTGTATTCCCTTTTTTTCAAAACAAAAACTTTGAACCTAATTCCCTTTGTTCAACTTTCTTCCTGACCATAACCAACATTTTGTAACCAATTCCCCTAAACAATGACAAATATCCATAACCCAAAGAGTGACCAAAAACCACCCACCCTACTTCTTGGGAATGTGGGCAGCATGTTCTTAAAGTTACTTCCTGCTGTCCGGGGGAGACAGCATCTTTTGGGAATCCTGAAAAGAAAGATTTGGGTTAGCTGTCAAGCTGTATCACTTTTGTCCAGTCTAACCAAAATGGGAAAGTGTGGGCTTGTCAAAAGTCCTGGCTAGAATAATTTGTTAGACTAGATCATCTCAGCTAGACATCTCGAAATTATCTGAGCAGTTTGTAGTCCAAGTCGATCTTTAGCTGAAGTTGTTCAGCTTAATGGTGTTATAGTCCTGGTGAAATTGGCACTGTGGGGTTCCATATTCTTTGCTTGTTTTGTTTTTTGAGACATGGTTTCTCTGTTTTAATAGTCCTGGATGTACTGAAACTCACTTTGTAGATCAGGTTGGTGTCAAGCTCATTGAGATCAAACTCATGCATCTGCCTCCCAAGTAGTGGGATTAAAGGTGTGTGTGACCTCCACTGCCCTGCTGGGATTCCATATTCTTTTTGGAGACTTCAGTGATTGAATTAGGTCAGATTACTTATTTTCTTGGTAATTCTTCTTGGTAGTTCTCCCTTCTTCTTTTGGCTGCTCATTTGTCCAAAGATCTTAAATTCCTCAAGATGTTGATTTTTCTTTTCCTGTAAAGACAAAAACAAAACCCTTCCCCAAACCTAACTTTGGGGAGGTTCATAATCTAATCCTTATCAATTTTGATCTATGGTTTCTCCTGAAATTTTGTTTTTTTCTTCTAAAGCTCTTCTATCATCCAGAGTGGTATGGTTTCTTAATGTAGGCACTAGGTTCTTTAGTTGCTCTGGGAAGGAATTTCCTTCAAGGTTATAGGAAATGACTGAACAGAATTTGGCACAGAAGCCTGTGAGAGGCACCTCGAGGCATTTCCCAAAGGCAAAGGATTACCTTGATAATTCCTTGTTGACCTATATTCCTTTGCCCAATGCCTGCCCTTGCCACACCTTCTGCATAATCCAGTAGGGAGGGGCATTCTCTTTGAATTATGTTTATAAAAAGAATTATTTCCAGAAACACTCTGTTTATAATCCCTTTTCAGGTGACCTTGTCTGCCACAATTAAAACATTTGACATTTCAATTTTTTTTTTATCCTCTTGAAATCATCTCTCCTATCCTTGTATGATCATCATGGTCATGAATTTCAATATTAATTGTATTTATGATCCAATCCTCCAAAGGTTCTGATCTTGCTTTTAAAGGCCTAATTATCCTTTGCATTGGTCATTAGTATTTTCAAAAACCATAGTTTCAGTTATTATTTTTCTAGCTTCTGAACCTGTTATCATTCTATTTACTGCTGATGACAGTCTTTGTATGAAATCCCTGAATGCTTCCTTTGGGCCCTGTATAACTTTTGTAAATGATTCAATTTTCTTCCCTGCTTCTCCAATTCTGTCCCAAGCATTCAAAGCTGCTGCATGGCATAAACCCAAGAGGTGATATTCATATAGACATTGCCTTTATAACGTAGCATAATCTCCTTCTCCAAGAATTTTTATCTTGGGAGATATCTATACCTATTTATTTATTTATTTATTTATTTATTTATTTATTTATTTATTTTTGTATTTACGAGACAGGGTTTCTCTGTATTGTTTTCGAGGCTGTCGGTCCAGCCTGGCCTCGAACTCACAGAGGTCCGCCTGCCTCTGCCTCCCGAGCGCTGGGATTAAAGGTGTGCGCCACCACCGCCCGGATTATCTATACCTCTTGATTTAGCCTTTTGTTCAATATTCTTAGCCTCTTCTCTGAACCAGGAAGTCCATTGTAATTGTGGCCCAGGCTCTAGGAGAGCTTTAATCAAATCTATCCAATCCACAGAGATAACCCTATTACAAACAGACCACATGTTTATCGTCTGCTTCACAAATGGTGAACGGATGCCATATGAGACTACAGCTTCCTTGAATTTCCCTAAATCTAACATTGTCACAGGCTTCCAAGTAGTCCTTACAGAATCTCCTTTATTTGGTACTTCCTGTAAGGTTACTGGATATGTTAATGGCGGTTCTCCTAAAGATAGCATCTGAAGTGTTAGCACAGATGGCCAGTGCTTGGCTATTTAGTCTGGGACCTGCTCGTTCCCTCAGATGATGTGTGCACAGGTTGATAGCAACTGTAGTCAAGATTGCAAGCCCTCACCAGATCTGTTTGCTGACTTGTTTTGGTTTGGGTGGTTTTTTTTTTTTTTGCTGTTGTTGTTGTAGTTGTTGTTTGGTGCTTGTTGGTTGTGCATTAACCCCCACTGGAGTGTGGCATTTGATTTCAGCATTACCTCAGGTTAGGCTTTGTGTGAACTTATATCCTTTTGTCCCTGGGCCTGGCTCAAAGCCAGCTTCCTATGGACAAGTCATTGGTTGGGTCTGGTGCATTCCACAATCACTGAAGAAGGCTTTGCTCCCAAACTGGCAACTGTGGTGTGATTTCAGGAGAGCAGCTCTTTCCAGTGGCTGGATGGATGTAAGGTTAGTAACAGACTCTGTCCTTCCTCTCTCCCAGGGTATCAGAAGAGCAGATGCTGGCCCTTGGGATGCTAAAACAGGTGGCCAGTGTGACAGCACAGACCAAAGCCTCCAGCTGCTGGAAGCTTGTCTTGCCCTTGAGGTTTCTAGGCAGTGCCCCTGATCGATTCCCGCAAGATGCCAAATTGCACTCCACCTCGTTCTCCGAAGCAGAGCCTCCACGGGTCTTGATCACAGGTTGGTTTGTTTCCTCCTCGTTTGTGGCATGAGCCTTGCTTTCTCTGAGCTGCTTCTTGTATGTGCTGTGCTATTCGAGCAGGCTTCCGGGAGACCTCTGGAGCTAGGTTTAATGGTCGCACTGTGAAAAGGGTCTCTGAGTGAGGCATGCCATCACAAATAACTTTTCATTGCCATGGCAACACTTTTCTGGCCAGACACAGCTTTTTTTTTTTTAAATCCCTTTAAATTCAAAGGGGTTGTTTTGGGGGCTAAGGAATTTATCAGAAGAATCATTAACACTGTCTCAACAAGGAGACAGAGGCATAGCAGGGGCTCTGAGGAAAGTTCAGGCACAAAGGGCAGAGTGCGAGTCTCTTCCTACAGATTTCAGAGGATGGGAAAGGGCCTATGTCACATCACGTGCCTGATGAGCAGCCAGAAGTACGAACCTGCAGTCCAGGTGTCTCTTATGTGAGGATGAGGAGATCAGGAATCCAGAAAAACAAGTGACCTATCTAATGGTCTTGATAGGGTTCATTTTCTCTGCCATTTAAGAATTAAACGCAGGGCTGGGCGTTGGTGGCACATGCCTTTAATCCAAGCACTTGGGAGGCAGAGGCAGGAGGATCTTGGTGAGTTTGAGACCAGTCTGATCTACAAGAGCTAGTTCCAGGACAGCCTCCAAAAGAATACAGAGAAACCCTGTCTCGAAAAACCACACACACACACACACACACACACACACACACACACACACACACACACACACACACACACAAAGAAAGGCAAGAAAAAGGCAAGAAAATGCTCAAGCTTGACAGTAGCAGAGAAATCTCAAAGAGCTGACAGTTGCAGAAAGGCTTTTCTGAGTGAGGAAACACACATACAGCAGGCACACAGAGAAAAAGACCGACTGCAGTGTCAGGGGTGGAGTGTGGGGAGGACAGAAGAGGAACTTGGGCAGCCAAGCATCTATTCTCTTCTGGAGGGCTGGAGATCTTAAAGGCTCTGAGGAGCTTTCCTTCCCTGGTTTAAGATTGGTCAGTTTGAAGAAAGCCAGGCTGATTGGCCCACAGCTGCTGTGTGTCGTTTCCTGATCCAGACTTGATTCTGCTGAGCCAGTGCATCTTCACTGGCCCTACTGAGGGAAGAAAGAACCCCAAGGCCTTTGTGTTAAGCTTCCAGGCTTTTCTCTGAGGTCAAGAGGGGGAGGAAGAAGTCAGCCATCTTAGAAATTCACCATCTTTGTTACCGGTCATGGTCCCTCTTTCTGTCTGTCTGCCTACCAGGGAGCCCAGTTTCAGAAATTAGCAGTTCAACTAAAATGGAGAAGCATTACAAGATGGTGTGGTTCTGACTGACGTCTTCTATCTTTGGCTTCCCTTATCCATAGCCACAAAACCTTGTTTTTTGAAGGAACCTAGGTATTTGGTGCTAAACAGCTCTCCTGGAACTTGATAACCTATAACTATTATAGGTTAATAGGTCAGGGCAACAAAACTCAATGATAGGGAGGATGCCATTTCTAGAACACATGTTCCTTAGGCACATCTTTCCTTGGCCAGATTCCCCAGCCTATATCCAGAACTGCCTGTCACCAACTGTTACTGAACTGGGAGTTAGATGGGATATAACCAAGCTTCTTGTTGCTGTTGAGCTCTTCCCATCAGATCTACTCTACTCATCGATCCTCCTTCTCCGGAATATGCAGTGCCTGGCCTCACCCCCTTCACCATGCATTCCATGTTGTGACTGACAGAGTGCTTCCCAGCGGCCAGAGACCACCTCTCACTTGATTGACACATTGCATTTCTCCCTCCTCTGTCATGTTTTCACTCCCTTCCTATCTTGTTCTCGTGTGCTTTTCATTCTCTGTCTCCTCTAGAAGCGTCTCTAGGGTTTTACTCCTGTGTTAACTGACAGGAAGTCCCACTGCTGTATCTTCCTGCCACATGAATGTCTCTGGTGAAATCTACAGTGGTCCTCCGAATGTGTTCCTAGCCCCCATAGTTCTGGTTTCCTATCCATGGTGTCTTTAGCCTCCAAGTCAGGAAGGTACCATCATTTCTTTCTTAGTGGCTCCTCTTTGATTCTGTTTTGTTTGTTTGTTTTGTTTTAGAGGTAGGGTCTCTCTACTATGTAGCTCTGGCTGTGTTATAGGCTGGCTTTGAACTCAAGAGATCTACCTACCTCTGCCTCCCAAGTTCTAGGATTAAGGTGTGTACTAACACACTAGCTTGTCCACTGTCCTTTTTCAAATGACTTCTTTCTCTCCCCTCTTTGGAGCTGAGCCCAGCACACGTGTTATTTTTCTTCTTGTGTTCTTGCTTTCCTCTTGATCTTGGACACCCCTTGCCAGAAAGTGCTGCCTGTGAAACTCTCACCTGCATTGATAGCTGGTCCATGATGGACAGTGGCTCTCCTATGTTCTGAGAGCACTGCAGTGCTGAGAGGAGCCTGCAGCGATTGCATTAGCTCAGCCCTGGGCTTTAGCCCACTACAACTGGAGGGGTTTTATCCCACTGTTGTGCTCTGAGAATAGATTTGTACTCAGGTCTCATCTTGTTTTCTTCTTCACCTAGGGGGTCTTGGCCAGCTGGGAGTAGGACTTGCTAGCCTTTTGAGGTAAGAGCTTCAGAATCAGGTTCTTATGGGTGTACAGTGGTCTCTGTCCACATTTGACATCTGTTCTTTTGCTTCTGGACTCTTTCTGCTTCTAAGACATCACATGGAAATAGCTACTTAAAATACATTTCGTTTTGCCTCTTGGTCACAACACCAGCTCTTTGCTCTCAGTCCTAACTTGGGTACAGTGAGACTCATCACCCCAAATGAAGCACTTACCTTCAGTTGTTGGGGAGCAGAGGGCAGGGCCCGGTGCTTATAGGAGTGGAAGGGAATCGTCTGGTGTTGAAGGTAGGAGGGTAAAAGAAGGAGGGAGAAGAGGAAGTGCCAAGGGTATGGAGAGAGCATCGGTGACTGGTGCAGTGGGGGAAGGAGAACCAGGCTGTGGGAAGAAAAGGTCTGAGCTTAGGGAGGCAAAGCTGAGGGGTATGTGACAGCGAGGAAGAAGGTGACGGGAGAAGGCCCAGGAATTGCAGTGCCTATTTGAAATAATCAGTTATCTAAGACTTGTATTCTTGACATTGCTGACTTGTGGGGCCGGGCACTTTCTTTCCCTACAGGAAACGGTTTGGGAAGGACAATGTGATTTTATCAGACATAAAGAAGCCCCCTGCTCATGTCTTCCATAGCGGTAAGATATGGATAGTCCTTGATGTTTCAGTTTTCAAAATGCAGCCACAGAGGCAGCTCAAGGGAGTCCATATGTGAATCAAAGAGGGATTCTGGCAAGGTCCTGGCTTAAAAGTATATTCTCAATGCTGCTCCATTCAAATGACAAAGAACAGGAGTGTTCTGTGGAACCTGAAGTTTTAGAATAATATGTTTTAATATTACTTCAAATAATGTCTTTGGACTAAAAAGTTTGATTCCTATCTTTTGAGTTTTTGGTTATCTGGCTGACTTAAAGAGCCCACAAGCAAAAAGTAAGTTTGATGAGGAAAAAGAGCTTGATGAATATGGAGAAGGGAGTACCCAAGTTTGGTTCCCATCATCCATATCAGGTGGCTCCCAACCACCTGTAACTCTAGCTCTAGACGATTCAAGACTGTGGTCTGGGCTCCAGGTACCTGCTCTCATAAGCAACCCCTCCCATGATTTCCACACCCTCTTCTTCCCCCTGTGGGTATCACACACACACACACACACACACACACACACACACACACACACAGAGAGAGAGAGAGAGAGAGAGAGAGAGAGAGAGAGAGGGAGGGAGGGAGGGAGGGAGGGAGGGAGGGAGGGAGGGAGGGAGGGAGGGAGACAGAGAGAGACAGAGAGAGACAGACAGACAGAGACAGACAGAGAGATACATAACTAACAACAAGCAACAAAGAATTGTGAGAAAGCCAGGTGTGGAAGACGGAGCATGGCTGTTAACGCAGTACTCTGAAGGCTGGGAGAGAAGAACCACAAGGTTCCAGTACAGCTTAGGCCACAGAGCCAGGTTCTGCTCCAAAAGGAAGGTGGGGGAGGGAGGCTAAGAGACAATGAAAATGGGATTTTCTCAAGTCAGTGGCAGGGGACAGGGAATCCGGTTATCTTCGCTGCAGCTGCCCTTCTCACTCTGCTTGCAGGCCCGTTTGTTTACGCTGATATATTGGATGACAAGAAGCTCCATGAGATCGTGGTGAACCACCGTATCAGCTGGCTGTTTCACTACAGTGCTCTGCTAAGTGCTGTTGGAGAAGCAAATGTGGCCTTGGCCAGAGATGTGAACATAACTGGTGAGCAGCTGACTCTGACCTAAAGAGGCCAGTTTTTCCTGCTCTCAGTAATTTGATTTTTTTAATTTTATTTTCAGATTTTCATAATGTCTATCCATTTCAGGACTGCATAACATTCTAGATGTTGCAGCCGAACACAATGTGAGATTGTTTGTGCCCAGCACGATTGGAGCTTTTGGACCTACCTCTCCTCAGAACCCTGCACCTGATCTCTGTATTCAAAGGCCCAGGACCATCTATGGGGTATCCAAGGTCCACGCAGAGCTCATGGGAGAAGTAAGCATTTCTCAGCAAGATTACTAAATGTTCAGGGCTAGATGATTCTATGTGCCCAGTCCCATTTTTTTTCTGCCTCTGAAACTGTATGTGGAAACATTTACACCCCAGAGATGACTGTGGTTGTTTATCAAGTGGCAGGCCCCTTGCAGGCATTGAACAATTCCTTAGCTATAGGTTTCTGCTTTCCCACACCCATGATAGTAATACCCAGTACTTTTGAACACTCCTGGCCTTGAAACTCATCTGTGCCTCCTGCCTAACTCGTTTGTAAGGTTCTCAACTAGAGTTACTGATGGGAGTGCTAAAACTTTTTCTGCATGAGAGAGAGACAGAGACATGGGGGCGGGGGAAGGGAAGGAGAGAATATATGTGGGGCACAAGTGTATGTATTCATGTGTGCAGAGGTCAGAAGTTAGGTGTCTTCCTCAATTCCTCCCCGTCTTAAATTTTGAGACAAGATCTCTTACTGGAACCTGGAACAAGCAGGCGAGGCTTGTGGGCATTAAGCCTTCGGGATTCTGTTTCAGCGTCCTTAGTGATGGATTACAGTGTTATTAAAGAAAAGTGAAAAACTTGGCAATTCTGAAGATCCCATTTTCTTTCTTTTAAACATTGTGTTTGTGTATGTTGCGTGTGTACATGCAGACACGAATATGCCACAGCATGTGTGTGGAGGTCAGGGAACAAGTGTGGAAACTGTTCTCACACCTTATTTTGGTTTTGAGGATTCAACTCAAGTGCCTTTACCCACGGAGCCATCCTGCAGGTCCTAAATGCTTATTCTTTTGAGGAACATTTTAATTTAGCTGCATGTGATATTTTAGGGAAAAGCAATGTCTTTGTTTTATCTGAACTACAGGGTTATTATGGTTTTTAGCCAGCTCTTTCTTTTTCATAGTACTATTATTACCGGTATGGGTTAGATTTCCGGTGCCTGAGATATCCTGGAATCATTTCTGCAGATTCCCAGCCTGGAGGAGGAACAACCGGTAAGTACTATCTCCAGTCTCCTTCACCCTTAAATTCTCTTGCTTAGTTCACAAACTGGCTGCCTTGGTTTCCCTGTATTTCAAGAGAAATTGAAAAGTAGGGAGTTTTTTTTTTTTAATTTTAATCTCGTTGGCCTCCAAAATGCAGTAACTAAAAGAAATTCTTCAGTTACCTGTGTATAACAGTAAATCTTGATATAGCCCATACTATTCTGGTCTTTTGGGGGAGCCTTCCATTTTTAATATCTAAAGAGGTTCTAGATTAAGAGAGATGGCATCTCAGTTCTGAATCTCCTCCCTCCTGCTGCTGCAATGGGCGGGATTCTCTTTCAGACTACGCAGTCCAGATTTTCCAAGCTGCAGTGAAGAACGGCACATTTGAGTGCAACCTCGAGGCCAACACCAGGCTCCCCATGATGTACATCAACGACTGCCTCAGGGCCACCCTGGAAGTCATGGAGGCCCCCGCAGAGCGCCTCTCCATGAGGACCTACAACATCAGTGCCATGAGCTTCACCCCGGAGGAGCTGGCCCAGGCCCTCCGCAAGCATGTGCCTGATTTCCAGATCACGTACTGCGTGGATCCCCTCCGACAGGCCATAGGTATGCCCCCACGCCAATCCGTTCTAGCTTGAAGTCGGATTTGGGAGTCCCCACGCCATCCCCGGGGCGAGGCTTTAAGGCTGAGGAGTTGCAGTGGTCCACCCACAAATGCTCCTGTGTGAGAGACATCTCTTCGGGAGAAAGGTTCCAGCTCAGGAAACAGTCGGGCACCATTTCATTTTTGCACAATTTATTAAAGCAGGGAGAAACAGAAGAAATCAAGGCAGTGTGCAAACAGGCTTCGGCCTTCGTATGGTGTAATTGCCCCATAGAGGACAATACAAGATATGAGATACAAGAATATTCCCTTAAAAAGCTGTGTTAGGTTTTGCGTGGGATGAGGGGGGAGGATTTTTTGAGACAGGATCCTGGAACTCACTCTGTAGACCAGGCTGACCTCAAATTCAGAGTGGCCCTGCCTCTGCCTCCCCAGTCTTGGGATTAAAGGCCAGCGCCACCACCGCCCGGTGCCCCGTGTCTTTTGAAGAGTACTAGTTCTGCTCCTGTCAGAGACCAGGTTTCCTTTTCTGTGCCTTTGTATAAAATCCATCCAGTCATTCACAAATACAGAGCTTGAATAACCAGCGTTCTTTCCCGCGTCTTTCCCCAGCTGAGAGCTGGCCCATGAGCTTAGATGACAGCAACGCCCGTAAAGACTGGGGCTGGAACCACGACTTTGATCTTCCTGAGTTGGTGGCTACAATGATCAACTTCCACGGAGCCAGGACCAGAATCACTCAAGCCAACTGAAAGGGGAGGAGCAGCTCCCCTGTCCTCACAGTGCAAGGGACATGACATTCTCTAAGCTGGAGAACTAATGGGACTGGGTTTTGGCAGCTCCCATGGGGGGGGGGTTCCTTTACTCATTGCCTTTACTGTGTGCCTAACTGCCCAAGCACACATGCCACAGAAATGAAGTCCTAAGTGCTAGTGGCTGGCTATCTCTTGGGATTTGCAACATTTGTATTTAATTAAATTCAATGTAAGCATCACTCCTGAGACTTTCTTGACCAGAGACCAAAGATTACATTTTAAGGATTTTCAAAGATGTTCTTCGTGTTTAGGACTTTCAAACTTCATCAAAAATGATCACTTGCAGCTAACTTTTTACCTAAGATTTATCTGGCCGATTAAAAATATGAAATATGATACAGTTCATAAAGGGCATTTTATTCCATTTAGGGGCTGCTAGAAAGCTTGGTGATGTCTATAGTAACATAACAACACCAGAGAGATTGTTGAAATGCACATTTCTGGGCTTCACCCCCTCAGACTGACCCAGCAACGTGGAGTAAGCTGGCTATGTCCCAACTCTGTAACATAGGTTCCAAGCACAGCATCTAAAGAGTGCAGTCCTGTGACAGCAGGTAACCCACCACCAGAGAGGATGCCCAAACCCTGCTGGCACACCTGGCTACCTCCAGAAATCACCAGCAAGGGGAGCTTCAGTTCCACAGCTATAGTCAATATTAGCTCCACTAATACTATAGGTTAGTGATGATGAATTGTTACAAGTTTACTTTTTTTTTTTTTTTTTTTTTGGTTTTTACGAGACAGGGTTTCTCTGTATTGTTTTGGAGGCTATCCGTCCAACCCGGCCTCAAACTCACGGAGATCCACCTGCCTCTGCCTCCTGAGTGCTGGGATTAAAGGCGTGCGCCACCACCGCCTGGCGACAAGTTTACATTTTGAACTCTTAGGTTGTGTCATGATTTTTTGGAGTCTTACCTGAATTTGAATCTTTTTAACTAGAGCACTTTTAGATGATTGAGTTTCAATAACTACAGTAGTATAGGTTATCTCTCACACACTTAGTATAATTAAGTTTACATTTGTAGATTTTTGTTTCTGAAAATCCTCTCTATAGATTTGTTGAGATATAGTTCATATACCATAAAATTATAATTTGGGATCTGGAGAAACAGCTCAGCAATTAAGAGTACTTGCTGCTCTTGTAGAGGACCTGAGTTCAGTTCCTAGCACCCACATGGTTGCTCACAACCTTCTGCAGCTCCAGTCACGGGGGACCTGACTTCCTTTTCTGACCTGTAAGCAACAGTGCATGCTTACATGTACACAGTGCACACATCTCACGTGTAGGCAACACACTCATACACATAAAAATAAATAAAACTTAAAATTGATATTGTTTCCCAGTATATACGAGTAACAGACTTGAGAGCAATAAAGAAACTACATGTAACTCCCCTCGCTCTGAAGCAACCACCATCATTCTGTGACTCTGGATGGGGGATTCTGAATATCATATACAACTGGAACGTACTCATTATCGAAGGGCCTCAGATTTGTTAACCTGTTAGACAGCGATGTTTCACGATAGCTACTCAAACTTCAAGTTCACACCTGATATTAAAGCTGCCTTTTGAGTCACCTAGCAGATTAAGACCACATTCTCTTGATTGTGTAGGGAAGTGTAAGTCTAAAGTTCATGGCGTGATTTTAAAAATCTGTATGCATGGTGAAACTCAAATAGCACGAGTGGATAAATGCAAAGAAAAGCATGTCTCACACCCTCTACACAGGTAACCATGACATGGTTACATGTGTGTGTGTGTGATGCTGGGGTTGGAACTCAGGGCCTATGCACACCAGGCAAGTGTTCTACCACTAAGCCACATCTTCAGCCACATTTGTTTGTTTAATGGCTCTATACTCCTTCATTGCCTGGCTGTACAGAATTTAACAGGACTTTTGGACTTAACCATCCTTAACTGTCATAAATAGTGCTGTAAGAAAGATTTTTGCAAATACATCTCACTTTCATCGTCTTAAAGGGTCAAAATCTCATTCTGGTACTTTGAAATACACAGTTTTTACATCCAACGATTTTTCTATTTAATCTTGTTTGTTTGGTTGGTTAGTTGGTTGGTTGGTTTTTAGAGACAGAGTTTTTCTGTGTAACAGCCCTAGTTGTCCTGGAACCCACTCTATAGACCATGCTGGCCTTGAACTCAGAGTTCTGCCTGCCTCTGCCTCCCAAGTGCTGGGATTAAAGGTATACTCCACCAGTGCCCATCTCTAACTAACTCTTAAGACTTTTATGGGGTGGTGTCTTTTTTTCCCTACCATAATAAGTGAATAAGAAGAACCTACCTAAAACAAAGTGCTGATACCAAGAGCTTTTTGTGAGTTATTTACCTATATGTCTTTGTGAAAGATCTGCCTGGTACAAGCACACTGTATACATTGCATGTTTCTTTTTCCTTTAAATTTTTTTTTGTTTTATTTGTTTTGTTTTTTGTTTCTTTGTTTTCATTTTTTGTTTTTCAAGACAGGACTTCTCTGTGTAGCCCTGGTTGTCCTGGAACTCCCTCTGTAGACCAGGCTGGCCTCAAAGGCAGAAATCCACCTGCCTCTGCCTCCCAAGTTCTGGGCCTTCTTTTGATTTGGGAGTTTTTGTTCACTTGTTTGTTTATTTATTCTTTTGATACAGGGTTTCTCTGTGTAGCTATGGCTGTTCTGGAACTCCCTCTGTAGACCAGGCTGGCCTTGAACTTAGTATCTGCTTGCCTCTGATTCCTGAATGCTGGAATTAAAGGCTTACTCCTTCTTAAATCACATTCATAGTTCAGAAATTGATTTAGGAGTGAACAAACTATCATTTCTAGTGCCCTTATTTCATTACTAGTAGGGTATAAATTCACGGTTTACATTCTACTGCACATTAACAAAGCAAAGTCATCCTGCCAAAGTTTCTCATTTGAAGCTCAGTGTGGACAGAATAGCAAAGCATTATCAGGATAAGGATAATAAGAACAGCAGAGAGATGCTTCACCGCAAATGCTGTATTGATAACACAAGTAATAGAAGTAATAAGGAAGAGGATGAGAGATCAAAAGGGCAGGAAGATTGCTCCCGACACTACTTTGAAAGTGGGACTTCCATTCATAAATGCACACTCCTTCCTCCAGGAGCCCTTTCCTTTGGCTCCTATCCACAGGCATCTCGGCCATCAAGACCACAGCTGTGGACAGCTCTTGCCTCTCTTGGTCCTTCTCCTGGACAGGGCTTCTCAAATATTATCTGCCACCCACAACTCCTCATTTTGTATGAGCCACGCTATATAGGTATTTGAAATAGTCCTATGTATCAAATGGTTGCTGATAGTACAACATGAAGAAATCTATAAAAATCTTTTATATACATATAATTTTTACTATATAGAAATTGAAGATGAAATCAAATCTGTGCATTAATGAGATGATGGGCTTGTTGATTTTTACATAAAATACTAAATCTTGACTGGATATTTGACACTGGAGGATACAGGGCACCTTCAACACTTTTCAGAGTTTGCAATCATCAATCCTGAGAATTCCTCCCCACATAATTAAGTAGTATAAAATGGCAGGAGTATGGTTAGAATCTGTGATAGTTTGAACGCTTGGTTCCCAGTTGGTGGGGCCATTTGGGAAGATTAGGAGGTGTAGTGAGAGATCTTACTACATACCTGTGGCGCTGATCACGCCCAAACGGCCGTGGTCACAGGTGCCTACATAAGCATGTGGGATTTTGGCCTGGGGTCAGGGACAGGCTTGCTCTGGGTTCCAGTTGGGTCACAGAGGGCAGTTGAGCTTGGAACCTCAAAATACTGACCCTGGGTTATAGGTTTCTCATGTAAGTGATTTCTTCCCAATAAAACTAACCTACAAGCCGGGCGGTGGTGGCACATGCCTTTAATCCCAGCACTCAGGAGGCAGAGGCAGGCGGATCTCTGTGAGTTCGAGGCCGGGCTGGACGGATAGCCTCCAAAACAATACAGAGAAACCCTGTCTCATAAAATAAAAAACAAAATAAAAACCAAAAAACTAACCTACATCATCCCAATCCCATGAATCGTAATTTGTACTACCACAAATCCAAACAGCAGTTTTGAAAAGAAAAATCTCCTAACATGATCCAATCCGAAAATTTTCTAATCTGATACTTAACATACCTAGGCATGATAGCAGTAAGACAGTAAGAAGTTTTGTTTCTTGTAATCAAACCATTATGTTTCTGTAGCAGCAGAAAATCATTGTATGGGCTGACACATGCTGCCACTCCTGAGGTTGGGTAGCCTCAGTCTGAGCCATGTTTCCTGAAGCATTTGCAAGACACCCATGGAGTGATGGCCACATAAGGCAAAGGGCACGTACCCATCTGGAACGGTAGCCACGGTGAAGTTTTGTGAGTGTGGGTGAACTCTGCCAGAAACACCATGAATTCATTCTAAATCTGATTTTGAATTGATTTTTGGTTGTTTCCTGTTCAGAAAACTTTCACCGTTAACAAAATTTTTGAAACTTTCACATTCAGGTTTTGACTCACAGGGTAAGAAGCTGGGGGTGGGGGGCCCATGTTGGGTCCTTGGCACGTCACAATGTAAGGAACCCACAGTAGATTGGTGGCTTTGTAAATGCTGGGTGACCAGGATGTCACTCACATCTTTGAACGTGCTTGTGGAAATCTGGTTATAGAGGTTGGATTTGTGCATATGGGAGAGAAAGAATTCTACTCACTAGTTTGTTATGTATTTTTAAAAAATATTTCTTTTAGTTATTTTTAGTGTGTGTGTGTGTATGTGTGTGTGTGTGTGTGTATGTGTGTGTAACAGTGTCTCACTCTGTAGCTCAGGCTGGCCTTGAACTGGCAGTTGTCTTCCTGCATCTGCTTCCCATGTGCTGAAATTAAAGATGTGAGCCACCACACCTGGTCCCTAGTTTTCTGTTAAGTCATATTGTTATTTGGGGAGGGGAAAAAAAGCTCAAACATTTGCTAAATATTGGCCATATGCTTTGAAGCTGGTTTCTCAGTGTTTACTAACTTCCAGAAATGAACCTCATGCTGGCCTATTTGTTCAATCTTGAAACAGATGGGCAGCTGCTGGGAAGAAAGAAACCCTTTCTAAGAAGCTGAATCTCTCAAAAGCGCTCCCTTTGATGCTGAATTGTGATCATGTGATGGTTCCCATAGTTGTGTAGAAACTTTCAAATATGTCTGTCCCCATAAAGACAGTTCTCACTTCCCTGGGGAGCATCCTATAAGGCAGAAACATTGTGCCTTTGTCTGGATGTTAATGCATTCATACTATTTCTGTTTTTCTGTCACTTTTCCTAGAAAAGCAAGAAAGAATCTAGAACGACCTC